GTGCCAACGAGCACACTGGCACATGGCAAGCATGATACACTATGGGACAACGGAATGCGGGAAGCAGTTGAATTAATGGACGAAGGGAAACACGGCGGCGACGACTACGAAAACTGCAGTAATGAGGACAATGGTGACGCTGCTGCTGCTGCTTCCTGGAACGACAAAAATATTAACCAGCATTACCGATCGAAACTCGCCACGGAAACTGAAGCCTCTTCTGCCTTCAACATCGCCAGGGACACATGCCGTTTACACTTCTCCAATGGAATGGCTACGTCTCCGTGATCGCCTTCTCCTAGTAGGCCTCCGACTGCAACCCTTTTCACCCTAAAGGCTTGACGTTGAAATTCAATGATAGCGGAGAAAGACCCAATCAGAATTGTTTTAGACTGTAGGGCTATAAGGCTATAGGGCTATAAGGCTATAAGGCTCTGGAGCTATAGCTATAGGGCTATAGGGCTATAGGTCTATAGGGCTATAGGGCTATTAGGCTATAGGGCTATAGGCCTGTATGGCTATAGGGCTATAGGGCTATAGGGCTATAGGGCTATAGGGCTATAAGGCTATGGGGCTTTTAGACGATAGGGCTATTGGGCTATATGGGGTATAGGGCTATCAGGGCAAAAGGGCTATAGCTATAGGGCTATAGGGCTATAGGGCTATAGGGCTATCAGGTTTTAGGGCTATAAGGTTATAAGGCTATCGGGCTATACGGCTATAGGGCTATAGGGCAATAGGGCTACCGGGCACCTCCGGGCACCCCAAAGCACCCCCGGGGACCCTTGGGCACCCGGGCACCCAGGCAACCGGGCTGGCCACCGAAATCGGCGACCCACCTCACCTAACCATATAGATCCGCTAGGACCCCTACCGAGGCAAGCTCTGAGTGGGGAACTACGGTAGGCCACTTTGCGTGCGTCCGTGAACGACTTCAAGCTCAAGCTTACCAAGAGCAGCCCACTCGGGAGTCCCAACAAAAGATTGCGACGTAACGTGATGATACCCTCCAGCGTGCTCTGCCTCTGCCCAGACCCCTGTGACATGCGACTCCTAGAAATACAGATCCGCACACCACCCAATTAGCACGTTTCCGCCTCCACGCGCAAAAATGCGGGGGTACCCCAGCCCCGCTCGGTGACGAGTGGGCGCATGAGGAGGAGGAGGAGGAGGAGGAGGAGGAGGAGGAGGAGAAAGAAGAGGAGGTGGAGGAGGAGGAGAAGGAGGAGAAGGAGGAGGAGGAGGAGGGGAAGGATGAGGGGAAGGAGGAGGGGGAGGAGTTTTGTCCTGACAGGAGCCAGCCGCAAGCGTACTGGCCAGACGTTGTAAAACACAATACAGCCAGCGATGGAGACGCCGTTCGACCCACAGCCTCGCTTCGCGAGCGGGATCGTCGTCGTCCGAATCGCTAGCATAGGGGAAACCGAGAAGGCTTTCCTGGGCGACAGGAGGAGGAGAATGCTCCCGTCCCGCCCCCTCCCACCCCACCCCCACTCCCAAACCACTCCCCGCCCCAGAGGTCGCAGGGAGAGGTGGAAGCGGAGGCAAAAGAGCCGTCTCGCAGGCACTCCGCTTGCGCAGCAAAACTGGCGGGCCAAGAAAAAGGCCCGACTTGGGGTGGCGACCCTGAAGAAGATTCTGCAGCCGGTAGTACCTGGAGTCTTTTCTTTGACCAGGGTACCCGCACGGCGCCTGAAGGGCTTGCAATCCTCGGACAACCCCTGGCTTCTAGTCATGGCATACGCACCGCAGACCGAACAGAACAAGACAGGCCCCGTGCGGTGCACCACATGCTGCGCAGGGCTCTCCGAACACTTCAACTGACGCAACACCGCTCGAGATGTCGCCTATCTGAGGCAAATCATGCAGCGAAATCTCTTCTCCATCCGAGCGACCGCAGGGTCGAACCTAGAGTGCGGCCTGGTAGGGCCCAACACACCTTCGATGGTGCCGATAGCCCTCCCAAGCACGACTGCCTGGGCATCAGGTCCAATGATCGAACCGATCCTGGCCGCGACACGAATGCAAAACTGCGCCACCATCTTCACCGCCTGGATCGATGACCCATGCGCCTCGCGCAAGGGGACACTCTCCGCGTGCATGGTGGTTCCTACTTTGGCTGCTTCATCGGCCCTGGCATTACCGAAACGTTGCCAAGGTGCAACACGCCCTTCCACCACAGCCGAGTGCGGTGTGTGAGCCTCAACGTGAGAGACCTCCACCGCCTCCAGACCCCGATCCGCCGCCAACCTCCAGACTTCCCTCCAGAGGATCGCCATCGGGTCGCTGGCCGCAGTGCCAGCGCCGAGCCCTTGGCGCCAAACGTCAACCAACGGCTTGCAAACGGTATGAAACTTCATCAGAGCACCCATATACCTATTAAACAGCTCCGCGGCGGGCACACACTGGAAGAGAGAAGGCAGTGGCCCATGCATCCTGGCGACTTCGTTCCGAAAAACACCCAGCGAACACAATCCCCAACCACGCCGCCTGAGTAGGCTATGCCGCCCATGCAGGCCTGGACCATCGCCGAACACATGCACATCGAGGAGCAGGTCGTTCGACCGCAAGGTCCAGACAACTCGCTCTTCCATGCACGGGTCTGGCAACAGCCAGGATAGGTCAGGAGCAAGAAACCTCGTCCAAAACAACGAGATGTCGGCGGCCGAATGCGCTAGCTCAAGCATCTGGCCTGCCACCCGTATTCACATGTATACTCGCGGCGAAAAACACCACGGGCGGGGCAGCCGTAGAACCTGTGCCATGTCGTGCCCCGACTTTTGCAGATCATGCAGTCAGGGTTGACCGCCCCGCCCGCATTGCATAGTCTCTCCTGGGACCAAAAACCTCCAGCAGACAAGCACTTGAGGAGCCCTTGATGCTTGGGGGTCCAGTCAGGGCCTCGAGAGGAAGGGAGGAGGGACCTCAGAGGCTCCAGGAGCGGAGGGCGAGGACAGAGCGAAGCCCACGACGGGTGCTTAGCCAGAACTTGTTGACAAATTCCAGCGCTCTGTGGCCTCGTCAGCCAACTTACCTCCATCTTTTGGCGAAATCTCCTCTATGGACACGGGCCCTCGGTGGGTCTGCCAACGAAACGGGCTGCCCAGCTCCATCCTAAACGGATCATCGCGCCCACTGGGGCCGAAGCGGGCCCCCGAATGTCGGACCACACCCTGGAGCCCGGAGCAACTAACAAACGAGCCCACGCACCGCTCAGGAGACGCGCCATGTCAGATATTGGTGCCCAACCGTCCCAGAGCGCTTGCATACACAAAAATCTATAGGCCCACGGTTGCACTCGCACGCGGGGTCAACTTGGCGGCCTGCCAGCATCAGGTCGAGCGAGAGAGACCTGTGCCTGAATATGCATCCCGCTCGCGCCAACAGGCTAGCTTTGAGAAGCTGCGCGTCGTTGATCCCGTGGACCCCGACAGCCCAAAGCGTCCCTGGCTTGAGGCCCGTCTGGACCAACTTGACTGTTCTGCCCCCCGCTTTGGCCAGCCGTCTATACCTTTGGACCCTCGAGCCCATCTTGCCCAGACGCTGTGCCCGAACCGCATGATGGATCCGATGGCCACCTCCGAAATCCAGCCCGAGGTCCCGAATAGACCGGGTGAGGAAACGAGCCGAGCGGGGTTTAACCTTCCGAACAGCATGACGAATGTCCTGACCAATGATAGTATGGTGTTTCTTGGGGAAGGAGATCGTGTGGCCGCACTTGGCACTTGGCCAGCTCCGCCGTGAGTAGGTCCTCCGCCCCCTTTCAGGTCGAAAGCCACGCCCCAGGCATCACCCACCCTCTGCAACTGCAAATCGTCAACAACGATCGCCAAATCAACAGACGGCTACCGAGCAACAACCATACCGGCAGGGGAAAGGACCTTGAGGCGCAAAAGAGAAGTCATACAACTGCAGCCAGCAACGATCGCACGCTTCGTCGAGACGATCTCGGTCGCAATCATTTCGACCATCACCATCCGATCGAGGGCGTACGTTGTCAGCAAAAACTTCCAAGTCTTGCCGTGAAACCTGTGCTTCTTGGCACACGCCGCGAGCACATGATGGGGAACGTGCTCGTACGCCTCGACGAGATCGAGTAGCTTAGACCCAGCTGCTTTGCCCTGATCTCTGGCCAACTCCGCCAACTTTGCTTCCAAACACGAATATCACAGGAGGCTCCAGAATCGCCAAACCTGTATCCTCTGGGGTGATCACGTTCCCAAGGCCCAGCAACCTTCCAGCGGGCCCAGCGGGACCACATACGAAGCGGGGAGGCGAAGACCCCTATAGGTCGATCTCCCCCGTCAGGCGGTGGCTTTGGCAACAGAGCAGTAAGCAGCAGCGCCCAGTACCTGGGCACGTAGCACAGCCGCTGCATCTGCATCCAGATGCCCATGGAAATCTCAACAGCGCTGTCGTCCAAGAAGGACCAGTGCCGAGGGTGCAGGCCGCAGACGCCGACCGCCGTGCGCGTGCTGTACGTCCTAGCGAGGGCGAGGAGGTCCTCGTGCGTGGGGGGCTCTAGCTCGGGTTCCTCTTGGCACCAGCTGAAATCAGGTTCAGGAAACTCCAGACCAACACCCCAATGCTTGTGCCAGCCCTGGGCCCGAGCTTCAGATTCCGCCATAATCCCAAGAGGAGCACCCTCGGGTCCAGCGTAGCGAGACAGCCCAGACTCAGCTCACCTGGGTACATCCTTGGTGAACCTGTGGTCCATGCGGGCACTTCCTGACAGGGCATCCGAAACCCACTCCCTCCAGGCCCGGGCCCGCTCCGAGGCCGCGTGTGATTCATGCTCCCGGGCCCACTTGCGGACCTGCCAGATCAGCTCGTTAAGCTCCGCCTCGCTGGACGGGTTGACAGCCACAATGCGCAGCCTCCAAGACACCCAATGCTTGCAATCGATGAACGGGGCCCGGGAGCCCACCAGCTTCTTCAGGAGGACCCCAGACTGCTGTATCCCCCCCAAGGTGGGCCGAGGCCCACGCCAAAGGTACAAGATGTCCTGGAGCCTTCTCTCCAAGACGCGCCACATCCTTCCCTCGCCGATGGCCCTGGGGTGCGTCGAGGCAGGAGGGCCTAGCAGAGGGACCTGGACCACCTTGGGGGGGCCTCCACGACCTCGGTATCTGGGTTCAGCATCAACTTGAAGCACCCGAGCGAGCGCCAATTCAGCCCTCTGAACCCACCGGGAGGTGACGGTATCCAGGGTCTCCTTGGACATCGGGCCCTGGGCCAGGAGGGGGAGGAAGAGGGGGAGGAGGGGAAGGAGGAGGAGGACCAGTGTAAACCCACCAAGAGTCATCAACGATGTTGGAATAAACCCTCCCTCCAAACTCCCTCTTCATAGGCCCCTACAACGTTTCATTTCCATTGAAGGAACTGTCTCTGTGGAAGACAACCGTTTGAAGACCCTGAAGCATGCCAAAACATTTGTCTCGGGATTCCAACGCCACATAGTAACCTGACTTTTGCGTCTTGACAATCCTGGATCGTTTCAGAACACCATTCCTGGGACTTCAACACAGCGAATCAACATAACTCTGGCACCCGCATAATCCTGAATCCTTTCAACACCATTTCTGACACGTCGATGATGGATATCCGATTGCGCCGCGCTAAGACGAAAACCACATTTTCAAAATCCACACGCCCTCAATCCGTGAAGCCATTGCAACTGTTTATAACGATTTTTTTTTTCCCCAGAGCAAAATGACACCACAGATGAGGAAAAATACGCGTCTCAAATGCAACCTCTTTGTTGCACCGTACAGAGCACACCATGCCGCTGGACCCCTTTCAAAAGCAGGGAGCAACAGAACACGGGTGGCACTACATATGAGGAATAAAACGCGTCTCAAATGCAACCTCCTCCTTGCACCATGCCGGGCACTCCATTCCCCTGGATCCCTTAACACAGCAGGGAACAGCAGCACACGGGTGGCACTACAGATGAGGAAAAATTTGCGACTCAAATGCAACCTCCTTGTTGCATTTGTCTGAGGGGGGGTGAGGCAGAGGCAGAGGAGGAAGCGGGGCGGGGAGGAAAGAGGAGGGGGGACAGCCAGACAAATTATTGAAATCAGTAGACCATCCCAGCTCAGATGTTCTATAAATCGAGCACGCTGATCTATAGAGAGCGTGCCAGAAAGCCCCAACGGCGGGAGACTGGCAAGGCACAGAGTTGCACCCCAATGGCAACTGATAGACTAAGTGGTGGATGAGGCTGTCCACACGGACGTGCCGCGTGGAGGCGGCTGGCCAGCGAAGGCAGCGCGGGCTAGCAGCGGCTCCCGGGAGGGAGGGAGCGGCCGACAAGACCGGGCGGCACGTCAGTGGCCCACCCCCGCGTGCAACCGGCGCAAGTGCCAATTCTTCGCACAAGAGCGGCCACCCCGGCGCACTCCGTGCCACGTCCCGCGGAGAGGAGGAGGAGGAGGAGGAGGAGGACGACGATTTTGCGCTCCTGTCGAGCGGCCTGGGCCTTAGCGGCCTCCAGTGCCCCGCCAGCTAGGCTGCCCCGTGCGGGTCCGGAGGCCCCTGAAAACGGAGGAACTCGCACGAGGCGGAACTCGCATCCCCTGCCTCCAGAGCGTGCCCCCCTGGGCCTCCGCAGCCGCGGATGGACCTGCCGGCGCGGAGCCGCCGATCGGCAACTGTTTATAACGATTGTGCGCCGCGCTGAGGCGAAAGCCACATTTTGAAAACGACCCGCCCTGAATCCATGAAACGCCTGCAATTTGTTAAAACGAATGTGCGCCGCGCTAAGGCGAGAGCCACATTTCGAAATTGGCCGCCCTCAATCCGTGAAACCCTTGAAACATTATAAAACGCATGTACGCCACGCTAAAGCGAGAGCCACATTTTGAAAACGGCCCTCACTCCATCTGTGAAACTGTTGCCAATTTGTTCAGCTTCAGAATCATGAGTGGTGAGGAAGCCTCAGGCGAAACGCCCGGCCCGCCCTAAAAACTAATGAAAAATGGTGAACCAAAGTTTCAAAATAGTAGCATAATGGAAAAATCGTCCCCTAACAATGATCATATTCTATGTTTGAATACTCCTCCTGTAGAGGGACATGCCCGACTGAATCCTGGGGCCCGAAAACAGCCCCCAGAGACCCAAAAAGGAGAAAAACCTCCTCGAGCCCAGAACTTCGAACCTCGCCACCCCCTTAGCTGCTCGCGGACATCAGTGCTGGGCCATCTCAGACCCCCAGCCGGCTCCAACCTATCCGGGTGGAGGCACCTGCCCGTGTTGGTGTTGGTACCCATCTCTAAATGGCCTCCCAAATGGGGTCCAAGTAGATGTCGGAGGATCGCGCCGCATCGCCAATAAATTGCCGACGCATCGGCGATACATCGGCGACGTCGGCGTGGATAAAATCGAGCACCATATCAAGCCGCATCGCCGATACATCGGCGATGCAGCGCGACCCTCCGACCCCACCTACTCGGACCCCATGTGGGAGGTGAATCTACAAGCCTCCCGCATGGAACGAATCTGGACCCATCGAGGTAAAAGGCGACAATAGATAACGAAAGCGGTAACGAAGGCACGGTGAAAGGGCACGTATTCTTAGACACCTCGAGGGCCTCGAGACCCTACCCTCAGTGGAGACACCTCCCTGTGCTGTCGGTACCCGCCTCCAAGCCTCCCAGCCCTTGGCCCCCCCTCCACCCCCCCGACGGCCTGCGGCACCTCCAGGCCATCCGCCCCGTATACCGCGGGCGGCGTCGCGAGGCGGCGAACCCCTCGGCGTCGCGCGCGGCGCGCGCGCGCGCGCGCGCTCGGCCGACGGACGTCGGACGGATGTCGACGAGGACGGCGATCGAAGGCAGAAGCCAAGCCTCCTCGCGTCGGGGACCCAAACATCCAACGTCTTATAAAAAAAAACTGACGGGATTTTGTTCGCCACGTCGGCCTCCAGAGGAGGGCCCTCGCTGGGCCACGGGACCGTCACGAAACTGCTCGAGGTTGCAAAACCAGCCCCGGGGAAAGGGTCGTGACGTCCGGGAGCCCCACGTCGAAGAAAAATCGAGACATCGCATGTCCGAAGACTTGCTGCGGAGGCGCACTAGAGATCCGGCCCGGACCCCGTCGCACAGCCCGGCCAGCAGCTGAGTAGCTCCCAATAGCCAGGGACAGCGGAGGGCGGAGCGTGGCTCCCAAACCGAAGCCCATTGCAGCCATCCTGCCTCCCTCCTCCTCCTCCCTCCTCCTCCTCCTCCTCCTCCTCCTCCTCCTCCTCCTCCTCCTCCTCCTCCTCAACCCTCCTCCTCCTCCTCCTCCTCAACTCCTCCTCCTCCTCCTCCTCCTCCTCCTCCTCCTCCCTCCTCAACCCTCCTCCTTCTCCTCCTCCTCCTCCTCCTCCCCTCCTCCTCCTCCTCCTCAACCCTCCTCCTTTTCCTCCTCCTCCTCGGAGGAGGAGAAGGAGGACGAGGAGGAGGAGGACAAGGAAGAGCTTGGCTGACCCACGGCAGCGCTGACCCCCGTTGCGCGAGCCCCGAGAGTGTTGGGCAGGCTCCGGCCTCCGACAGCCCCTCCGCCGGGAGCCCCGCGAAGCCGCGAGAGACTGGCCCGTGACGAGAGGACAAAAGTGCCCCCCGGGAGGGGCCCAGGACCGCTGGGGAGCCACGCTGTGGAAAGGACACGATGTCGGCTGTCCGGGGAGGGAAGGGAGGGAGGAGGAGGGGGAGGAGGAGGAGGAGGAGGAGGAGAGGAGGAGGAGGGAGGAGGAGGAGGAGGAGGAGGGGGAGGAGGAGGAGGAGGAGGAGGAGGAGGAGGAGGAGGAGGAGAAGGAGGAGGAGGAGGGAAAAGGGAGGGAGGGGAAGGGAGGAGGGGAGGGAGGAGGGAAGGCCTCTGGAGAGCCACGCTGTGGAAGTGGGGGAGCGAAGGATGACATGGACAGAAAAACTCTGAGGTTCGCGCGGATTTCTCGGATCGGCGCTGGGGGCCCCCCGGCGGCGCCTCCGGCGCCGCAATCCGCGCGCCAGGGAGGGGGGTCCAGCGCCGATCCGAGAAATCCGCGCGGACCTGAGTTTTCCCCCTATCAGTGCTTGCACTGAAGGGTTCCTAGCGGAAGATGAAAAATTTGGCGAAAACTTCCCGCCGATTTTGGTAGCCGGCTGTGTTCCGGGTTCCCGGTTCCGGGTTCCCCGGCTCCCTGTGATTGCTTCCGGGCCGATTTCTGTGGGTTCTGGGTTCCCAGGCTCCCGGTCGAATTCCTCAGCGAAAACCATCCACTGATTGGGTTTTTTCTCTGGTGTAATTATGTTTATGTCATTCTTCGTTCCCCTGGGAAAAGACACGACGTCGGCTGTCTGGGGAGGGATGGGAGGGAGGAGGAGGAGGAGAAGGAGGGGGAGGGAGCAGGAAGGAGGGAGGATGCCCGCGACAGGCCGTTCACCACAGGTACGCGAGAAGGTTGCACCGTGGGCCGTGCAGTCTGGACGAGCCGTGATGCCTGAGACCACGGCCCGCGATCGGCCGTGAGGTCGTCACCCTAGTAGTGACGCCGAAGACTTACAGTGGAGGCCAGTACGCAAGAAACCTTCCACAAGAGACCCAACCCTGAGACCCCAGGACGTCCTTTGACTTCTGGTGTGGGAGCGTCATGCTTTCCACAGCAAAACCATCGAAACCCAAGAAATCCAGGGCACCCTGGAGGCAAGCAGGGTGTTTCTTGGCATGGGCATCCACTGTATCCGAGACCGACCATACAATCTTAGCCCCCTCACTCTATGGGGCAGTCATGCACGTCTCCAAGAGTAGAGACCTCCTAGATGCGGTCCGAGTAGATGGGGTCTGAGGATTGAACAGCATCGCCGACGTATCGCCGCTACATCGGCGATGCATCGGCGATGCATCAGCGACGTCGCCGTGGAGAGATCGGGCTCCACATCGAGCCGCATCGCCGATGCATCGGCGATACGGCGCGATCCGCCGATACCATCTACTCGGACCCCATCTGGGAGGCTCAGGGAAGGACCCCACCCAGACATCCTCGCGACGGGAAAAAAAAATCTGGCGTCGGCCATCGTCAGCCTCTGGGGGCCCAAGCTGGGCCCCACTGGCCCATGGGGCCGTCAAAAAAGCGGCCCGTGATGAAAAACCTGCACCTGACTACCTACCAAAACATCCCAACCCCACCCGAAGACCCGAATTTCGCTCGAATTTCGGGTTGGGGGGGGTACGGGCTTCATTGTGTTTTTTCCATGTTCCCCGACCCCCCCCCACACTGGAAATGGAGGGCAAATCGGGGCCTTCGGGTTGGGTTGGGGTGGTTTGGTGGGTGATGAGCACCGGGGCCCAGACCTCTGGGAAGCCAGCTCGTGGAAAGCACGTCGTCGGATTTCTGGGGCCTCTGAAGGCCTCCAGGACCCGGCTGTATACCTCCGCCGGCGGTGGGACACCCGCCGCGACAGAGCGGCAGCGGAGCGCGGCGGTGTAGGTGGCACCCAACGTCGTGGACGCAGCCCAAGCAGCGAGAGGAACGGCGCTGGTAGGGCCCTCTGGGACCGCGCACACACCTCGAGTAGGGGATCGACTACAGAATTCATGTACCCAAAACTTGGTCTTCTCGCCGAATCTCTACAAAAAAAATACACATAATGTTCGTAGATCCACAACATGGCACGCATTTGTCTTCGTATACTCAACGATCACACCAACTTGGGGCTAAATAAATCCTGCAGTCGATCCCCCACTCGAACACCACCCGCGCCAGGGCTGCAGCCGATGCCGAGGGGCGTGCCGCCACGGGCGAGAGAGACGACGCCACGCGGGCGGTGCCACCGGGTCTGCAGGCTGTGGCCGGGCTGCCCTTTTGGGGCTCGCGGCAGTCGAGGCGTGCGCCGAGTTGGGCGCAGGAGGGGCCGCCAACAGCTACTGCATGTCCGAGGAGCTGCGGAGGAGGAGGAGGCGGAGGAGGAGGCGGAGTAGGAGGAGGAGGAGGACGAGGAGGAAGGAGGAGGAGGAGGAAGGCCTGTGGAGACCTCCAGAAGCCCCCCGCGACCCAAACCTCTGGCGACAGAGACGGCCTGAGGCGACCAAGCTCAGGACGGGGCTGGCTCACCACAGCAATCGGAGGCGATGGGGGGGGCTGGGGTGACCAGCCTTGAACTCGTCCCCTTCTCTAGGATGGGCAAGCCCAAGGCGATGACAACATCAGGGATGTGCTCTCAGAAATTGTGGGGATCTGTAGCATCGGCACCGAGGTAAGGTGATGCCACACATAGGGATAGGGGTATGTTTCAAGCCAGTAATGGGACGTCGAAGCCTGGGCAAGACGTCGAGGCGAGTGCCCCAAATGGGGGGCGCCTGCACCGCGCGCAGGGGGGGGGGAGCACACCAGCGCCGAGCGGATGAGAGGGGGGGCCGCAGCGAACGAGGGAGCTCCCAGAAATGAATCCGACGGAGCAGGGTACGGAGGTGCGCACAAGCCGCGCGGATGAGTGAGGGGGAGCCGCAAACATCCTGAGCTGCAAAGTCTGAAGACAGAGCCACGGGGCAAGAAGAGCACACGCCACGCGTGGTTTGGCGCCCGCGAGCCACTGGGGCACTCGGTCGGGCCAGCCGACTGGCATCCTCTTATGCGAGCCAGCGCCCGAAACAAAAAGACGATGACGAGCTCGTACATACCCTGAACGTCTCCACAGGAAGCCAAGTAATGACGTGGAAGGCGTTCATGATCAACATAAAACGATGATGGTTACCCGTTGCGACGTGTAAGTGCACTTTAGAGGGAATGGCAAGCCCCGCCACCAACCATCGCAGTGAGCAAAGCGCTGACCTTCTAAGCTGGGCTCCAAGAGCGCGCAGAATAGGAAGCGTAGGCCAGATAGGAGAAAGATGGGGCAGCGTGGTTGCCATGGGATCGCGCATCCATGGGATCGCGACCCCGCCCACAAGTTTGTGCATCGTGAGCCTCATCCTTCTTCCTCCTCTTCCGCCTCCGAGACGTGTCGTGGATGGCGAGGGTGGACCTAAGGAGCACCCGCCGCTCGCGGCCACCCTGGCCGCGCGGTGCTGCCGCTGCCCGCACCTCCGCACCCGTGCTCCTGATCAGCGCGCGGCACCGACGCTTACAGGGAGCCGTCGCATCGATGGAGGCGCCCGAGGCCCTGGCCGCCGCTCGCGTTCACGACCGCGGGTCTGCCCTCGGATTTCTGCTGCGGGCGGCGAATCGGCGTCGGAGCCGCTCGAGAGCCAGTGTGCGTAGAGCCACATGCTGGGCTATCCCAGCATTGCGCGCACAACCAGTGTGTCGTGTGTGCGCATGTGCATCCGCTGCAGGCCGCACCGGCGCACTCGACAGTGACTGCTTCCGCGTCTGAATGCCCTCCCCCTCCTCCTGTCCTCCGCGGCCGCCTCTTCCCCCTCTTGCACGCCGGCCAATTCGCGTATCGGTCGCCGCGAATCGCCGCTCGCTGGTGCAGCACATCTGCCTCGCCGCCGACGTAAAAAAGTGTGTGTGTGGGCATGTGCATGTGCGTGTGCGTGTACGTGTGAGTGTGGGTGTGCATGTTCCCGCCAGCAAAACACAAACCTCGATATTGATTCACAGGCACCTCTGGCAAACACCTGGCGCATTCAGCAAACACGCTGCTTCAGGACATGTCAATGCCCGCGTGCTTTGCTCCCGTTAGGTCAATGCATGGATTGACCAGCGAGGCACTCCTCATCCATGACGGCCTCCTCCTCCTCCTCTCCTTGCCTCCTCTTCCGCCATTACCTCTCCTACTTATTTCTCCATGTTATCCTACTGCTCATAAGCCTCCCTCCTTCTCATCCACCTGCTCCTGCCACGGTTCATGTACCTGTCCCTGCCGCCATGCCTCTCCAATAATACCTGATCCTCCTCGTCTGCATAGCAGCCATCCGCCCAAAGCCTGCAGTAGTTGTGGTGGTGGCCAGCGCATATGACAAAGTAGCAGAAATGCTTGTCTCCTCGCACTGGCAATGGCAAACTAAGAGAACGGATATGTGAAGTCGCCATTCGACTCCGTGCCGCCAAAGAGCGCTCGCTTAAAGCTGATGACGATGATGATGACCATGATGATGTTGATGATGATGATGATGATGATGGTGATGATGATGACGATGATGCTCATGCTGATGATGATGATACATTGTGGCGTCATCATGGTTAACGCCAGAAACATAAGTAATGTCGCAACTATTAGTGCCATTCCGCTGTGGCTACCTCGCCGACTTCTTCAACAAGATAATGGCTATCGGTACCACCATCGTTCCCACCGCCCTGTCTTCTGGCACACAAGTGTTCGCACACCCTCATGCAAGGCCTGCCGCAGCCTGCACGCGCAATCAGCGGTGACCAGCACGATCTGCTCCCTGCTCGGATCCCTTTCCAACCGCAACGACCCTGGTCACTTCCGACAGGAGGGGCTGAGGCAAGCTGAACTGTCGAAGATGGCGAGAAAAGGAGGCTCGAGAGAAAACGCCCTGGGGTGATGTTCGGCCATAGGGGGGGCCAACAAGGGCCCACGAAGAGCCCCGCACGGCCAACCTCTCCTCACATCCGGCTCGCGCTGTAGCGGGTAACCAGCCAGAGGCGCTCTGTGCCCAGAGCCCTGTCCCGTCGCAGGGACCCTGACCAGCTCCGACCCCAGGGGCCCGGGGCACACTGAGCTGTCGATGGCGGCGAGAAAAGGGCCCTGAGCAGAGAGCACCGCGGGACCCCGGGGCCATCTTCGGCCGTCGGGGAGGGGAGGGGGGAAGAGGAGGAGGCGCAAGAAGAAGGCACGGAGGAGAAGATGAAGGGGCGAGGAAAGGAGTGTGGGGGGAAGATAAGAAGTGGGCGACGGCAGATGTGAAAGAATGTGCAGAGGTAGGTGAAGATGACCAGGGAAAGAGAGGAAGATGCAGAAAAGGGGAGAGGTGGTGGAGAATGCGAGGGAAGGATGAGGAGGAGGAGGAGGAAGTGGAGGGGGCAAGTGGAAAAATATTACGAGACATGAGATGATGGATATGAGGAGGAGGAGGAGGAGGAAGGAACACGGGTCAGAGAAAAACGGACAGGCGGAGGCAGAAAAAAACAAACTACATAAAAGTAGGGTAGAGAGAATGACCCAAACCTTTCCCAGGGTTTTCCGGGAGGGCTCCCGTGAGTTCTGAGGTGTTTCCTGCGCCTCCTGTGGACGCTGTGCCCCCAAAAAAATCGACCTCCCGAACCCTCCCATGAGTCCGAAAGGGCCCCGAGTCGCCGAGCGAACGCTCCAATACGCCCAAGATGGCCTCAAGATGGCCCAAGGGGTCTCGAAGACGCTACAAGAAGCCTCCAAGACGCCTCCAGGCAAAAATAATTGACGGATTTGGCGTTCTCGCCTTTTCGACAGATTCTTGAAGGATTTTGGCGTTCTTGCCTTTTCGAACTTTCAACGCTCCGAGAAGGCCCAAGAGGCCCCCAAGACCACCCCAAGACGGTCCAAGAGGCCCCCAAGACCACCTCAAGACGGCCTAAGAGCGCCCCAAGACGGCCCACGAGGCGCCCAAGATGGCCCAAGAGGACCCCAACACGGCCCAAAAAGAGACCCAAGAGAGGGAACACGAACCGAAAATCCCAGCCTTCCGCCAGAAGAGGCCCCCAAGAGGCCCCAAGAGACGCCCAAGAGGCCCCCAAGAAACCCCCAACAGGCCCCGAAGGGCCCGAGAGGCCCCAAGAGGCCCAAAAGAGACCCAAAAGACGCCCCAAAACCCCAAGAGGCCCCCGAGAGGCCCCCCATGAGATCCCAACTAACATCCAATAGGAGTTACACCCGCAAACTAGGCACGGTGGCGGGATGTGCCGAAGGCCATTAAATCCGCCGCCCCCTGTCGATTCATCGCAGGGGTGCCTTGCGTGGCGAATCCTATCGGTTTGGGTTTTGGTTCTTTTTCCAGAAGAACTCCCCCTGGGGCTCCGGCGAATCCCGCCGGCCACCCAGAAGACCCGGTGGCAAACGCCAGAAACGGCCGTTTCGCTCGGGGCATCCTCAACAAATCGCGAAGATGGCCCAAGATGGTCTCCAAGTCCGCCCAAGATGGTCCAAGACGGCCTCCAAGACGGCCCAAGAGAGTCGAAGACGGCCCAAGACGGCCCAAGAGGCCCCCCAGAGGCCTCCAAGACAGCCCAAGAGGCCTCCAAGAGATCCTCCAGGAGGGCCCGAAGAAGCCAAAATCATTGATTTTCCTTCGGTTTTGGGAAGATGTTGGCATTTGCTTCTTCTCGGCATGTCGACGGCTGAAGACGGCCCAAGAGGCCCCCCAGATCGCCCACGAGGCCTCCAAGAGGGCCCCATGACGGCCCAAGAGGCCCCCAAGACGGCCCCAAGACGGCCCCAAGACGGCCCCAAGAGGGCCCCAAGATGGCTACAGCGCGCAGCCGACTCAGGCAAAGCGTCTAACGAATTAACGAGACGGCGCGCGCAGTACAGGTGAGGCGCAGAGATCAGAACAAATGTTGTTAGCTGGTATAGAACAACGCCGCCGTTTGCCAGTTGCGGGAAGGGGAGAACAACAGAACAGGTAGGTGTAAACGCATAACATCGTCAGGGGGGAGCGTACAGGAGGGGACAACCTACGCGTGCACAGTTGCACTTGGGAGCAGCAGGCCTGAGGTTCTTCAATTGTCATCGTGGGCTGGTGCCGCACGGGTAGGCGAGGTCGCTGAATCACCCACTGTGATACGGCCAAAATACGAGACCCAGGCGACGGTTTGATAACAGGGGGGGCAATCGGAGGGCATCACTGCAGTCTAGTAGACCAGGTGTGGGACAATCAAGGTGCGACGTGAGGAAAGTGTATATGTAGCACTCGGAGGCCCAGTGGGGCAGGCGATCTTCCGCCGAAGGCCAGAATAGCCACAGATGTCAAAAGCACTCCTCCTCCCCAACCGAATCCCACTGACTCCAAAATGTCCCTAAGTGCCTGTCGGCTGGCGCAAGGAAAAAGTTATTGAAACGAAAGGGGCAAACTCGAGCTTCGATTTAATTCTACCCCTGCAGGTGTTGGCTGGGCTGCTGGTGATGGTGTAGGGCATTAAACTAGGGCACGTATAAGCAACTGCGTAGGAGCTGAGGCTGACCGTTGTGGGCTGGCCTGTTTAGTGAGTGGGCGCAAAGTGGTAGAATGTACGACCAGCACCCTGTTGACCAGGGGGGAGCAGCATCGCACGATCGATACCACCTACCAAGCCAAACCTAAAACTTCCCCTCCACGATCCCCACTGTGGCAGTCAAGGCGAAAGAAGAATATGCGACGGTTTGAAATAAGGTGGACACGCAGCGGTGAAAGCGTAGAACAGCAAGCGAAAAATTATGAAGGAGGCGTAAAGACAGGTGTGAGGTCAGATGTGAAAGGGCTGCGTAGTGTTCTGGCCATCGCTTGGGGAGCACATTAACTTCATCATCCTCCTCCCCCTCCTCCTCTCCTCCCAACTTACTCGGAAGTGTCTGTCGGCAGGCGCAATGAGAGGCTTTAAGATGAAAGGGGCGAATTCGAGCTTCAGTCTAAGGCTAGCACTGTCTGTGCTGGCTGGCCTGATGGTGATTGTTGAGGACATTAAAGTAGGGCGTCGATAAGCAACTGAGCAGGAGTTGAGGCTGGACGCTGCGGGCTGGCCTTTTAAGTTTCTGGCCTTCAGGGGGTAACATGGACAAACACAGCGGGGCCAGCACCCCGTTGACCAGGGGGATGACCGTTCCCTCCTATCATCCCTGTCTAAGCCCCCGCCTCCACTACCCCCACTGTTGCAACTAAGGCGCAAGAAGGATACGGTTTGAAATAGCGTGGAGACGCAGCGGTGAGAGCGAAGAAAGCCTGCGCAAGCTGATGAAGAAAGCGCTAAGGCAGATGTGAGGTCAGAAGCGAGCGGTGAGGCTGAAAGGTTAAAGGAGCAGCGAGGAGTAGCAGTAAGAGCATAGGTGACAAGAGGTGCTCAGGGTACGAGAAAGGGTCCTGCACAGAGACAGGTGAAGGGGGAACGTGTTAAAAAGCGGGCAAGATATATATATATATATATATATATATATATATATACTCCCTCCCAACCAACCGGGCCACTCCCACTCCGCCACCATCCCTCAACGCCGCTATGCGGCTGGTACTGGCTGGCCGTGGAGACTAATGGAGGAGAGCTCAATGACGAAAGCCGACCTGACACCCGTAGCCCACCCACCACCAATCCCCCCAGGAGGCGACGCACATGCCGCAGGACAGCGCTGCGGATGGGCAATAGCAGAAAAGGTAGAGCTAATGAATAGTATGCAATGAGAAAGAGCGTGGTTGTAGCGTGTAGGTAGGCTTTGAATATGGGGTAGAATAGGCAGAGAAGCGCACATGCAACGGGCGACGCACCCTGGCCTGCAAGTACGAGAGCAGCGGGCGGTGCACCCTGGCGTGCCCCCTAGGACCGTACTAGTCTCCCATGACATGACACCAACCCGCCTCAACAGTAATACTGCTGGTATTGGCGTGGAACCCCCTTGTGTCCGGTTTGAATTAGGTGACTTCGGTGAAAAAGAAGCGCTGGTAGTCGCTTGAATAAGTGGCGTGCGGTCTGCTGGTGGTATGTCGACAAGCCACTGAAGCTGAGTCGGTTGTATGCCTGGAGGCGGGCAAACAAAAAGGAATTTTGAGCTGACGCAGTGGTGGGTGTTGCGGACTACGATTCGCGCTCTAGCCTGTGCGATGTTGATTGTGCGCTGCAGGTGTCGGTGTCTCTTCTTGTGCAGTTGTGCTTGTCGAAGCAGTTCGGCGGAGTGCTATTGGGTGTGCAATATTGGTGGGTGTGTGTGTGTGCTGAGGCGTCAGCGCCTGTTGTGGCAAGCGAGCAAATACCGTCTATGGGATGCCGTCTACCTGGTTCATGTCCGCTCAACATGTCGAGCACGGACGCTGTATGCTGAAGGTCCACTGCCGGGTCTCCCACAAAGAAAGGATATAGCCACTGTACCACGATTGCGAATGGCCTGGTAGTTCTGGCACCAGGTCTGCTAGTGCGTAGCTTGAGTATGTTGCAGATGTATTGGTTGGCGATGGTTACGTCTACGCGGAAGTCAGCGTTGTCCTTGCACTTGTCATGCATGTCGTCGATTGTGGCTCTAAGTTGTCGTTTTGGTGCTGCGGTGTATCGCGGTGGCGATGGTGGTAAATACAAGGATGTTGTTGGTGGTGCACTGCAGACAGAGTCGCTTGGTAGGCTCCACTGGCGGGATAGTGTGTTGGAGAGTGGATGTGCCTGTGGGCCTGGTAATAATGGTGGGTGGGTAGTACATCTGGGCTTTAGCTGCTGGCTAGGTATTTGCTGTTGTTTGTGTCGGGGTATCTACGCCACGGATCGAAAAAGAGGTGGTCTTTAGGAAACTTGGACGTGTAGAGTCGGTCCGACCGTTGTAATAGACCGCACAATGCCAGCCGTATTCGTCCCAAGTGTTCTCCGTGGGGATGTACGCTGTCCATCCTGGTGGGCAGTGCATGTCGTGCTGAGGGTGTGGTGTTAGTGGTGACAATGTGAATGGGGTTGGTTGCTCGCAGGGATGGTCGCTGTTGCTGTAGTCGCTGCTCCCCGTGTCGGAAGTTGGTGGCGCAGCGGCTGTTGGAGTCGCCAACGTGGCCGTTGTTGACCTTGCGTTGTGGGTGTCGGTAGAGCGTTGTAGGTCTGCGACTGCTGCTGATGCAGATGCGTTCGCCGTAGGTGGAGTGGCCTGTGGTGATGATACTGGGCTCGCTGCTTAGGTCGTGGTCGTGGAATTGGTGGTGGTGGGGTTGGCTGCGTTGGTTCGCCATACTGTGTCTTCGGTGGTTTCGGTGGTCGGAAGTCGATGTACGGTAGAATACGGTGTGGTGATGTAGGTGGTATGTATCCAATGCAACTTATCCGTAGCATGTCATGGTGCTCGTAATCCGTTAGTTCTTCTTGTCGTCGTCCTTCTAGTAATTCTTGCACTCTGTGGTAAGAGTGGTGGTCGTCGCCTATGTTCGTGACGTATGTCTGACGTATCCTGGTATTCTCTCTGGTGGGATGTAAGTAAAGCAGTCGCGAATTGGGTGAAGCATGTGCAGAGGTCCTAATCGTGTGCGGCGACGGTATGACTGGGACAGTACCTCCATCCTCCTCCTCCTCCTCCTCCTCCTCATTATCATCCTCCTCCTCCTCCGCCACCTCCTCCTTATCATCATCGTCATCAGCATCAATCATCATCATCATCATCATCATCATCATCATCATCATCATCATCATCATCATCATCATCATCATCATCATCATCATCATCATCATCATCATCATCATCATCATCATCATCATCATCATCATCATCATCATCATCATCATCATCATCATCACATCATCATCATCATCATCATCAGCATCATCATCATCATCATCATCATCATCATCATCATCATCATCATCATCATCATCATCATCATCATCATCATCATCATCATCATCATCATCATCATCATCATCATCATCATCATCACATCATCATCAACACCGTTTTATCCTCCTCCTCCTCCTGATCCTCCTCTTACTGATCCTCCTCTTCCTCCTCATCCGTTGTCACTTCCTGCTGCTCCTCCCTCCATCCTGCTATCCTCCTCCTCCTCCTCTCCACCTCCTCCTCCCCCACATCACCGTCCTCCTCATCATCACCACCATCATCATTATCTTCCTCATCACCATCATCATCATCATCAGCATCATCATCATCGTCATCATCATCGTCGTCGTCGTCGTCATCGTCGTCACCGCCATCACCCTCCTCGGTGGGGGGCTGCCACAGCGAGGGCCCGGAGATGCGGCTCCAAGGTCACCGGGGTGCCCGAGCTCGCCACGGTCCGGGCCTGGCGCCGCTCCCGCCTGGCCCTCCTCGCCTCCTCCTCCCCCTCCTCCTCTCCCTCCTCCTCCTCCTCCTCCTCCCCCTCCTCCCCCTCCTCCTCCTCCTCCTCCTCCTCCTCCTCCTCCTCCTCCTCCTTCTCGTCCTTCTCGTCCTTCCTCAGAGCCTGGGACACAGGGCGTCGGCCGAGCGCACCCGCCTGCTCGGGGGTGTGACACGGGCCGGCCCCGCCACGATGGAAATATGGGCGTCGCATCCTGGAGAGGACGACCAGAAAGCACCTCCTCCTCCTCCTCCTCCTCCTCCTCCTCCTCCTCCTCTTCGTCCTCGTCCTCCTCCTCCTCCGCCTCCTCCTCCTCCTCTCATCCTCTCCTCCTCCTCCGCCTCCTCATCCTCCTCCTCGTCCTCCTCCTCGTCCTCCTCCTCCCCCTCCTCCTGCGCCTCCTCCTCCTCCTCCTCCTCCTCCTCCTCCTGCAGTCCTTTTTCCTTATAACTAACTTCTCCCTGTCGCACCCCGAGGCCGGTTTTTAGGGGGGCGCGGGTCTTTCGCCTGACCCTTCCTCTCCATTTACGACCCTAAAACTTAAAATTCGGCAACAGTTTCTCGGATTGAGGGCGGGTCGTTGTCGAAACGTGGCTCTCGCTTTAGTGCCGAACATCTGATTTTTCAAAAACTGAAGGAGCTTCAGTGATTGGGATTCAGGGCGGGTCGGTTTCAAAATGTGGCTCTCGCCTCAGCGCCGCGCACATTCGTTTTGGAATATGTGCAAGAGTTTCGCGGATTGAGGGCGGTCCCTTTCAAACTGTGGCTCTCGCCATAGCGCCGCACACATTGTTTTAAAACTTTGCAAGAGCGTCACGGGTTGAAGGCGGTTCCTTCTTAAAATGTGGCTCTCGCCTGAGCGCCGCGCACAGTTGTTGTAATAGTTTGTAAGAGTTTCGCGGATTCCCGTGATCGGCGTACCAGTAATGGTGTTTTCTTGGAAGGATTCAAGATTATGAGGGTGCAACACTTATCTTGATTGCCGGTGTTGAAGTCCCAGGAATGGCGTTCTGGCACGATTCGGGCTCGTCAGGAAGCAACAGTCAAGTTGATCCGTGGCGTTGGAATCCCGAGAACAATGTCATGGCATGCTTCGGGGTCTCCAAACGGTTGTCTTTCAACGAGGCGAGGCAGTTCCCTCAGTGGAAATGAACCGTTGTAAGGCCTATAGAGGGAGCTTGGAGGAAGGGTTTACTCCAACATCGTTGATGATTCTTGGGTTTACACACTGGTCCTCCTCCTCCTCCTGCTCCTCCTCCTCCTGCTCCTGCTCCTCCTCCTGCTCCTCCTCCTGCTCCTCCTCCTCCTCCTCCTGCTCCTCCCCATCCTTTCACGAAATCGGTCAAAGCCTATGGGAAATCAATGATTCTATCTTCTCGTACTTCCGCTTCCGAGTGGCTCTTGAGGCCACACGATGGCTCCAAGATAGCCCAAGAAAGCTGGGGGGAGGGCGAGGCGGGGGGCGAAGGGAAGGAGGGTGTATCAAGGTGGAGACGGGGGGTGACATCCAGAGGGTGGTCAGGCAGACCGCACCATCGCCTTCGACGAGCTAAACCTCGAGGGAGGCACAGCCGAACTTGCCTCAAGGGCGAACCACAAAAAAGCGTGGGGGTCTTCGGGCCCAAACCGCTGGAAGCTCGTGACTACCAACTCGCAGCCAGACCTCTGTAGGAACGGGACAGAGAGCAAGCACAGTGGAGGTCAGTCCACAAGAAACCTCCGACAAGAAACCTAACCCTGAGACCCCAGGACGTCCATTGATTTTTGGTGTGGGAACGCCATGCTTTCCATAGAAAAACCATCGAAGCCCAAGAAACCCAGGGCACCCTGGAGGCAAGCAGGGTGTTTCTTGGCACGGGCCCACACTGTACGAGAGATCCATGAGCAGGCCGATCAGTGCGGCCACCTCCGAGTCCTGGCAGGGACCCGCAGCATGGGGTGCAGACAGGTCGACCCCAATGGCCATATGCCGCCCTCTCTTTCAAGTAAGGTGGGGCTCGCAAGCCGGGATGGACCCACAGGACCCGTCTCAAAAGTCTTCCCACTCCAGGTGGCCTGCCACAGAGGAGGGGACCAAGTAGGGGAAGAGGAGGAAGAGGAGGAACAGGATGAGGATGAGGACGACGACGACGAGCGCATGACAGAGGAGAAGGATGAAAATGAGGTGGGAAAGGGAGAGGAACAATGGGAGGAGGAGGAGGAGGAGGAGAAGGAGGAAGAGGAGGAGGAAGGAGGCAGGACAAGGAAGAGCAGGAGATCGGGGAGGAGGGGGAAAGAAGGGAGAAAGAGGAGTAAGAGGAGGAGAAGAAATAGAATAATAACTCAACAATGAACGGGAAAATGGCGATGGGGAGTGGGATGGACAGGAGAGGAGCGAGAGGACGAGAAGGAGGAGGAGGAGAAGGATAAGGGAGAGGAGGGAGAGCAATGGCAGGGAGGAGGGAGGGGAGTCAAACTGGCGTAGGACGTCCTCGCCCTACCCGCCTCCTCCCAAATCCCCCCCTCCATCCAAGTCCCCTTGCCTCTCGGGGGGAAACCCGCGCCGCGCCTCGGAGATCAGGCCGTTCATGCTGCAGGTCCGGTAGCTGGGCAACTGGCCCGGCGGCGAGTGAGAAAAGGCCGGACCACGGCCGCCGCCCCCCCCCCTCGAGGCTGGGAGGAGACGGTCAAGAAGTGGAGGAGGAGGAGGAGGAGGCGGAGGAGGAGGAGGCGGAGGCGGTGCCGAAGGACTCAGACACAGAGAAGGCGGAGGCTCCTCCGAGAGGGCCCTCAAGGACGGGTTCTGAGGGCGCCTCTGGGCCCCAGGGGCGGGTTGGGGTGGACTATGGGACGCCGATGTGCGCCTGCTCGGGGCGGCACGGTGGCGAGCAGCCCACGCGGCTCCCGCAGGTACACGCTATGGCCCACCTCCCGCAAAGAGTGAAAAAAGAGAGGCAGGTCAAATGTTCATGCCAGCGACAGGGTGCATGCGCTCATGCACAGGCGCCTGTTCCTGGAAGCGGGGAGCTAGAGCGGCGCAACCAGATGCAGCGCCTGGAGGCTCCTCCTCCTCCTCCTCCTCCTCCAGCTCCTCCTCCTCCTCCTCCTCCTCCTCCTCCTCCTCCTCCTCCTCCTCCTCCTCCTCCTCCTCCTCCTCCTCCTCCTCCTCCTCCTCCTCCTCCTCCTCCTCCTCCTCCTCCTCCTCCTCCCTCTTCCCCCCTTCCTCCTGCTCCTGCGCACCGCCTCGGAAGAAGGATTGAGAAGCGGAGGGAAGGAGAGGGACGAGAGGCTGGGGAAGGATAGAGGGGAGAGGAGGGCGAAGGGAGGGAAGAGGAGGCGAGAAAAGGAAGGAGGGAGAGCAGGAGGGCGGAGTGGGCAGGGCCTCCCCAAGGGCATCGCTCGGCATCATGCCCTGGACCTCTCCTAAACACCTCGGCGGCCCCCGTCCGGGAGCAGGCCACAAAACACGCCGTTCGCCAGTGCACGCACATCTGCGGGTAACGTCAACGGGTTCCCTGCTGCACTTCCTCCTCGGCAGCGTACCGACGTCCTCGATCCCCGCGCCGCGGCCCGCGAATCGAAGCGGCGCGACCCAGCAGCCAAGGGTAATGAAGAGCCCAACCCTGGCCAGGTCGAGCTGCGCCCGGCCGTGGGCGCGAGGGCCACCCAGGAAGGCAAAGGTCGGGAGGGCGAAGGAGGCCTAATAAGACGCTGCCAGTGGTGGCCCACCAGCGTGATACAGTGGAGGCCAGTCCACAAGAAACCTCCCACAAGAAATCCCAGCCCTGAGACCCCAGGACGACCCTTGGTCCATGGTAGCGAGGACGAGCGAGCAAGGCGAGCGACGCCGGGCGAGAGCGAGGGCGAGGCGAGGAGGGGCAGGATGGCGCTGGGCGAGAGCGAGCGCGAGAGGCGAGAAGCGAGAGGCCAGAGGCGTGAGGCGAGAGGCGAGAGACGGAAGAGCGCGCGCACGCAGGCGCGGGCAGGCGAGAGACGGAAGAGCGCGCGCACGCAGGCGCGGGCACCCCAAGACGCCCGTGGACGCGCGTCGTCCCGCCGGCATCGGTGAGGGCGCCGTCGTGCATCGCCGCTCGGTGGGGGGTGTGCGGGCGGGCGCGCCAGGAGAGTTGCTCCTCCTCCTCCTCATCCTCCTCCTGCTCACCGTCGCCCTCGTTCCTCCGCATCCTCCATCCTTCTTCCTTATGAACAACTCCTCCCTGCCGCACCCCCAACCGTGTCCCTAGGGCGGGCTGGGCGATTCGCCTGAGACTTCCTCGCCAGTTATGATCCTGCAGTGCAGAAGTCTCAAAAATGGAGGGCAGGTCGTGTTCGAAATGTGGCCCTCGCCTCTGACGGGGCGCATGCTCGTGTAAGAGTGTACACCAGCTTCAAGGACGGAGGGAGCTTCCTTTTCAACACGAGGCTCTCGCCTTATTGCCGCGTACATTCGTCTTGAAGTGTTGCAACAGCTGCACTGATGAAGGGCATGTACGTCGCTCTCGCCTCAGCGCCGCGCACGTTCGCCTGAAGAGCTTGCACCAGTTTCACGGACGGAGGGCGGGTCGTGCTCAAGATGTGGCTCTCGCCTCAGCGCCGCGCGCTTTCGTCTTGAAAATTTGCAGTTTCACGGAGGGAGGGCGGTCCCTCTTCAAACTGTGGCCCTCGCCTCAGCGCCGCGCACTTGCGCCTCAAAAGTTTTCAGGGCTTCAAGGATTCGCGTGGTCGTCGTCCCAGGAATGGTGCTCTGTGTTCTGGCACGACTTTAAGGTCATCAGGGCGCAGCAGTCACGTTGACTCGAGAAGTTGAAGTCGCTGGAACGGCGTTCTGGCACGATTGAGGATTTCTGGGACCCAACAGTCATGTTGATCCACGGTGTTGACGCCCCACGAAAGATGTTTTGGCACGATGAAGATTCTCGAACGGTTGTCTTCAGATTGGCCACTTCCCGCAATGATAAGAAATTATTGCAGGGACCTATAAAGAGGGAACTTGGAGGGATGGTGTAATGCAACCTCGTTGACGCGTCTGGAGGTTACACTGGTCCTCCTCCTTCCCCTCCTCGTCCTTCCATCGTCAATGATCGTCCTCATCAAGCTCATCATCGACACACTAATCATCACCACCATCAGAGTCATCATCAGGAAGAGGTAAGAGGAAAGAGAGACAGGGAGTAACGGACAGACAGACAGGGAGGGAGGAAGACAGAAAGAGAGAGAGAGGGAGGGTAGAGGGACAGGCAGGCAGAACGACAGAGACCGACAGACAGACAGGCAGGCAAGCAGACAGACAGGCAGGGAGAGGGAGAGAGACACGCACGCACATCTACATATATATATATATAAAAAAAAACAGCAACAATCGCACGTACAAGGGGAGAGAGAGAGAGAGAGACAGAGGCAGAGAGAGAGAGAGAGATGCTCGCGGGTAGCAGCAAAGGGAACAACGAGGATGACAAGGCGAGGGAGATCGTGCGTGAGAGATCGCAGGAAAATGCAGGGACACCAGCACGACTTCAACAGGGCAGAGCGCAGACGAGCACGTCAGAGCCTCCTGAACCAAGATACACCAATGCAAACACGATGCAACCACGATTACTTGCAGGCGGTGCGAATAATGCAAGACTCAGCGCGCCAGAGCAGCCTAAACAGACTGAAGAATCAGCCGTGTACACCCCGCAGCCCACCAAGGTGTCTGAATCCTGCGCGAATCGGGCCGCGAGATCCATCCTTCTCCTTCTCCACCGAGACAGCCATCCTCTCGTCCTCTTCCTCCTTCTCCTCCTCCTCCTCCTCCTGCGCCTCCTCCTCCTCCTCCTCACCATCACCATTATCGTCAGAAATAGCATCGTCATCATCATAATCATCATCAGCATCATCAGCAGCGTCAGCATCATCATCATCATCATCATCATCATCATCATCATCAGCATCATCATCATCATCATCATCATCGTCATCAGCATCGTTCGTCCTCGTCTTCGTCATCATCGTCCTTATTATAACCATCACCACCACTACCATCATCATCATCAGCATCATCAGCAGCAGCACCACTCTCATCAGCATCATCGTCATCGTGAACGTCACCGTCGTCATCATCATCAGCAACAACAGCGTTACAAGCAGCATCATCATCACCACCAGCAGCGTCATCAGCATCATCATCAGTAGCTTCATCATTATCAGCAACATCATCATCATCGTCGTCAGCATCCTCATCATCACCATCAGTAAAATTATCCGCTTCATCATCAGCAGCATCATAAGTACCATCAGGATCAACATCATCGCAAGCATTGTAATCATCAGCATCATCGCCCGTGGCATCACCATCGCCATCGTCAGCATCATCAGCATCTTCGGCATCAGCATCATCAGCAGCATCGTCATCGGCATCAGCATCAGCATCGCCATCGTCATCGCCATCGTCATCATCATCAGGGGTAGCAGCATCAGTTGCAGCATCATCATCTGTACCCTCACCATCATCGTCATAATCATCGTCACCTTCATCATCAGCAGCAGCATCATAATCATCGTCATCGCCATCGCCATCACCATCGTCATCGGTATCGTCATTGTCATCGTCGTCATCATCAGAATCATCATCATCATCATCATCATCATCATCAACACCATCAGCATCAACATCAGCATCATCAGCATCAGCATCATCAGCAGCATCGTCATCAGCATCGGCATCGCCATCGTCATCGCCATCGTCATCATCATCATCATCATCATCAGAAGTAGCAGCATCAGTTGCAGCATCATCATCTGTATCCTCACCATCATCGTCATCATCACCGTCACCTTCATCATCAGCAGCAGCATCATAATCATCGTCATCGCCATCGCCATCACCATCGTCATCGTTATCGTCATTGCCATCGTCATCATCATCAGAATCATCATCATCATCATCATCATCATCATCATCATCAACATCAACATCAGCATCAACCTCATCATCATCATCGCACAACGATCTTGATCCTGTTCGTGAGCCTCGCCAATCCCGCTGTTATCACCCGTTACCCTGCCCCAACGCGCCCAGTTAAGGCAATATCCGACGTCTCCCCGTGACTCCCCGTTCCCCCTCCTGCTGCACATTCTCTGTCGCTGCGCTTCCGAAGGCATGAAGCGAGATGGCACGGACCTGCTCTTGAAGTTCGGGCATTGCAAGAACGGCGCCCAGGATGCCCGCGTAATCAAACATCCGCGGCGGAATCATCTGCCTTCCTCCTCTTCCTGGGAGGATGGAACTGCGGTCGGTCGTGGATTACGCCCTTGCGCCCTCGCTCCTCATCTTGCTCATCCTCCGCCGATTCCTCCTCCTTGTCCCCGTCATAATCATGCTGCTGCTCCTGCTCCTGCCCCATCATCAATATGTTGCGGCACGAAACGCCAAACACCCCGCCGTTGCAGCCTTGCCCCTCCTGGCTGGGAGTGGGAGCGGCCACGGAGATGCGGTACGGCCGCGTGTCGCAGCAAGGGCGGGAACAAGGACGCATGGCGCTTGCAAAGCGCCCCCACCTCCCAGGGCGGGGGGGCGAGGAAGGTTCGGGGAAGAGGGCCAGGAGGGGGGAGGAGGACAAGGAGGGGATTGGAGGGAGGAGAGGCGAGAGTAGCATGAAAGTCGGTGGGACGAGGAGGAGGAGGACGACGACGACGAGGAGGAGAAGCATCAGCAGCCGCAGGAGCAGGAGGAACAAGAGCAGGAGGAGAAAGAGGATCTAGGCGTCAGGGCGCTTGGGATTTTGCGCCTCCAGAAGCATCCGGGAAGCCCTAAACGCCTCTAAGGACCTCTAGGGACCTCTGGAGGCTTCTGGACAACCTTTGGAAGAAGCACACGTGTCCAACAAAAGATGCAAAGAGGAGACACTGAGGGATGAGAGGTGGAGGAGATGAGCAAAGAGGGAGATGGAAGGAGGGAGAATGACGAAGAGGCGGCCGCCTAAAAAGGGCGCACGCCATGAATCCAATAAACTTCGGCATTTGGCCCTCCTCCTCTACCATCCTCCACTGTTTCCATCCCCACTCTCTATTCCTCATAAACCGCACCTATCCCTAATCCCTCTGCACACCCCTGCTTCCCGACATTACTCCTCTTTCTCCTCCTCCTGCGAATCATCCTCTGTCTAATAATCCTTCCCCTCCTCATCCCACTCGTCAATCCTCCCCAAACATCCCTCCATAGCCCTACTGCACTGCGGTACAGGCGGATCGCGTCCGATATGTGAGCGAGGCAACCAGCCGGGCAGGTTACCGTGTGGACCTGCGGGGAGGAGCGGTTGTCCCCTGTTCCTCCTCCTCCTCCTCCTCCTCCTCATCCTCCGCACTTACGCCTCCTCATCATCACCCCTTTTCTCCACATCATCATCCACCTAATCAGCCGCAGCATCATCATGATCAGAACCATGCTCATCCTCGGCATCCTCCTCTTGAAATCCTTCTCCTCGAACAGCTCATGACCTGCCTCCTTCTCCTCGTCCACTCCCAAACCCTCCCATGTTCTTAGCAAACCTCCTCTCAGAAATCCGTGCCCTAGTCCTCCTCCTCCTGCTACTGCTCCTGTTCCTGCTCCTGCTCCTGCTCCTCCTCTTCCTCCTCCTCCTCCTCCTCCTCGTCCTCCTCCTCCTCACCATCATCATCATCATCATCATCATCATCATCATCATCATCATCATCATCATCATCACCACCACCACCATCAACATCGCCATCACTGACATCATCATTATAAGCATCATCACCACCGTCATCATCACCATCATCATCACAATCGTCATCATCATCGTCATCATCATCGTCATCATCAGCATCATTAACAGCAGCATCATCACCACCACCACCATCATCATCATCATCATCATCATCATCATCATCATCATCATCATCATCATCATCGTCATCGTCATCATCATCATCATCATCATCATCATCATCATCATCATCATCATCATCATCATCATCATCATCATCATGAGCATCATAATCACCATCATCATCATCAGCATCATCAGCATCATCATCATCATCATCATCATCATCATGAGCATCATAATCATCATCATCATCATCAGCATCATCAGCATCATCAGCATCATCAGCAGCAGCATCATCTGAATCGTCAGCATCAGCATCATCATAATGATAAACGCCACCATCATCAGCATCATCATCAGCCTCATCATCATCGGCAGCAGCATCGTCGTCCTCATCACCATAAGCATCGTCATCAGCGTCATCGGCGTCATCATCATCATCATGCTCATCATCATCATCATCATCATCATCATCATCATCATCATCATCATCATCATCATCATTATCATCATCATCAGGCGCAACATCACAACCATCCTCATCATCAGCAGCAGCAACAGCATCAGCAGCATCATCATGGGCAGCAGCATCGTCATCGTCGTCATCGTCATCATCAATACCAGAATCATCATCATCATCATCATCATCATCATCAGCATGATCATCATCATCATCATCAGCAGCATCATCATCATCATCCTGATCATCATCATCATCATCATCATCATCATCATCATCATCATAGTCATCATCATCGCCGTCATCATCAGCATGATTAGCATCATCATCAGCATCATCAGCATCATTAGAATCATGATCAGCATCATCATCGTCAGCACCACCACCATCGTTTTTGATAGCAACAGCACCAGCATCAGCATCATCAGCAACAGCGGCAACAACAACATCATCATCAGTATCAGCATGAGCACCATCGTCATCATCCTCATGATCATCATCATCATCAGCATCATCATCATCAGTAGCAGCATCATCAGCACCATCAGCATAATCAGCATCATCATCATCATCACCATAAGCATCATCGTAATCGCCATCAGCATCAGCATCATCAGCAGCAACAGCATCATCTTCATCATCAACAGCATCATCATAGTCATCGTCAGCATCATCATCATCAACATGATCATCATCATCATCATCATCATCATCATCATCATCATCATCATCATCATCATAATCAACACCATCATATCCCCCCTGTCCGTCACTCCATCTCTATATTGCTTTCTCCCTACCGTTATGTTGCTTTCGCTTTCTAAACCACTCCCTCTCTCCCTCTCCTGTCCATCCAACTCCATCCATCCCTCCTCTTCGCCTCGATTCCTCCAAGTCTGCCTCATCCTCCGCATCCATCCTTCCCCCTTCTCCTCTCTGGTAGGTGCCCCTCCCCTCTCAGCCACTCTCTTTCGCTCCCATCCTCACCTTCCGTCCCTCATCCGTGCTCGACCCTGTTCATCCCCCGCCCCCTCCTGCACCCCTCGTTTGCAACTCCTGCAAATGGGCGTGCATCCCACATGCTCACTCAGCAAGCAAACATGCAGACGGCCTCTCCTGCACCCCCCCCTCCCCGTCCGTCGCCTCCGCCCTCCGCCCCCCCCCGTCTCCGCCTCGGGCTCCCCATCGTGACGGCGCTTGCCCACCATAGTCCCGGAGGAGGGGATGGGTGGGGGAGCTGACCTCCATGCTGGCGTTCAGGACATCTACAAAGGTGTCGCCGCAGCCCAGCGTAATGGAGCTGACGGGCTCCCGCACTATGTACCTGACGGCTACCAGAGATCGCGGGGGGAGAGGGGGCACGAAACGCCATCGCCGTGTCCCCACACTCCTTCCCCTCTTCAGCCCGAGGAGGAGGAGGAGGACGACGGCTATGACGGCGGCAATGACGACGACGGCTATGACAACGACGACGACGACGACGACGACGACGACGACGACGACGACGACGACACCGACACCGACACCGACACCGACAACGACAACGACGACAAAGACGACGACGACAACGACGACGACGTCGACGTCGACGGCACCACCAGCGGCGGCGGCGGCGACGACGTCGAGCACCGGAGCTGTCAACATGACGCCAATCCCAGCCACACGCCGCACCCACACCGCACCCACAGAGGGGGAGGGAAGCGGGGAGGAGGACCATGGCGTCACCCCGCACACACCCACAGCAACACACCACACCGACACCACATCCACAGGGGGTGGTGAGCCACGGGAGGGGGGGGGCATCTTGCGGGGGGGGGGGGGCCCGACGGCATTAGCAGTGGGGGGGGCCAAACCATCGACCATATATACTATAACCATCGCGCACGCGCGCTTCGCGCGCGCTCAAGTTCTAGGTAGGCCCGACAGGCTAACGCATGGAATCTCAATTGTTGAAGCGCCTTGTGCATCTAACGACCTTGTTGGAGTCCCTGCGCAAGCCTCGGAAGCGTATAGAAGGGGAAATGCAGAAACCACAAAATCGTCAACTTCCTTTAGGTGCTCGATGAATTGGGGCCCTCGAAGGATTCCTGGGATCTTTCTTCGATGGTGACGGGGGCCTTAATGATGGTCTGATGTGCAAAAATAAACGGGGGGTAAATCCAACCAGCCCTTTAGGGCGTAGGTGGTCTAGAGAGTTTCCTCTGCCAATCCCCTTCTTTCCCTTCGGGGAGGGGTTTACCCCTCCCCTTACCCCTCCCCACCGACCTGTTCGAGGGGTTCCGCGGGTCGTTGGGACGTCCAAGATGGCCCAAGACGGCTCCAAGAGCGAAAAAGCGAAAAAACACAAAACATTGATTTTCCTTAGGAGGATGTTGGTCTCTTGGGGGGGCCCAAGAGGCGATTCGAGGCACTCCTAGAGGGGCAGCGCTAACATACGACCTCCCCTTCTTTGATTGATCTCCTCCAACATGGCCCCAAGAGCTCCCCGAAGGCTCCCAAGAGCGCCCCAAGAGGGCCCCAAGATGGCCCCAAGATGCCCCAAGAGGCCCCCAAGAGGCCTTCAAGAAGCTCTCTAGAGAACCCCAAGAGGTCTCAAGGAGGCTCCCAAGATGGCCCAAGACGGCTCCAAGAGCGAAAAAGCGAAAAAGCACAAAACATTGACTTTCCTTAGGTTTTGCAAGGATGTTGGCTTCAAGAAGGGCCCAAGAGGCGATTCGAGGCACTCTAGAGGAGCAGCGCTAATATACGACCCCCCCTTCTTTGATAGATCTCCTCCGAGATGGCCCCAAGAGCGCCCCGAAGGCCCCCAAGAGCGCCCCAAGAGCGCCCCAAGAGGGCCCCAAGAGGCCCCAAGAGGCCCCCAAGAGGCCTCCAAGAGGCTCCCAAGAGACCCCCAAGAGGCTCCCCAGATGGCCCAAGACGGCTCCAAGAGCGAAAAAGCGAAAAAGCACAAAACATTGTTGCTTTTAGGTTTTGCAAGGATGTTGGCCTCAAGAAGGGCCTCAGAGGCGATTCGAGGCACTCTAGAGGGGCAGCGCTAATATACGACCCCCCCTTCTTTGATAGATCTCCTCCAAGATGGCCCCAAGAGCGCCCCGAAGGCCCCCAAGAGCGCCCCAAGAGCGCCCCAAGAGGGCCCCAAGAGGCCCCAAGAGGCCCCCAAGAGGCCTCCAAGAGGCCCCCAAGAAACCTCCAAGAGGCCACAAGAGGCTCCCAGATATACGCAAGAGGCCCCCGGAATCGCGGAGAGGCCCCAAAGATGGCCCAAGAGGCCCCCAAGCTCGCCATTGTCCTCCTCCTCCTCCTCCTCCTCCTCCTCCTCCTCCTCCTCGTCCTCCTCCTCCTCCTCCTCCTCTTCCTCTTCCTCTTTTTCTTCCTCTTCCCTCCTCCCCCTCCCCCTCCTCCTCCTCCTTCTCCTCCTCCTCCTTTTCCTTTTCCTCCTTCTCGTCCCCCTCGTCCTCGCAATCCTCCATCTCCTCCTCCTCATTTTCCTCCTCCTCCTTTTCCCCCTGTTGCTCCTGTTCCTCCTCCTGTTCCTCCTCTTCCTCGTTGTACTCCGACGACGACGGTTTCTCCTACACCCTTTCCCTCTTGGGGTATATGGCGGCTCACCCGCGCCCTGTTATTTTGCATGCTCCCCCGCTTCCCTCATAACGTCCACTCCCCTGGGACTCATTTCTGGACGGGCTGGTGGGGATACTTTTTTGGTCGGCGGCTCCCAGGCAACGGTCAGGGAGCGGAAGCGGCGTCCGGGATGCGGCACGGTGCGAATTTGCGAACACAGCCGCCAATGTCGGCAAGCCAGTTCGCACCTGCAAAGCAAGCTCGCATCTGCACACGCACAGGACAAAATGAACTAAATTCACAAGCAAACGCACATAGGCGCAGCAGCGTGAACCGAAGAAACGAGCTGCACAGCGTGCGAAGACGATTTCTGGTGGGGATACGCGAAGCGTCTAGAATTTGAATTGGCCTGGCGAAGGACCAAACCATATGCAGTTGTGAGTACCGCTGTTGTAGGGATCGTCTTCGGTGGAGCCCCCTTTTAGGGCCACGAAACGCTGCCCCAAGAAGAACTCTAAACAGCCTCCGCGAATCCCAAGAAACTCGTAGTGTGTAGCTGTGCACGGACACACACAGGTATGCGCAGACATTTTCACATGCATACGTACGAATATGCAAGAGAGCGTGATCCACCGCCGCTTTACTATGGAAATTTCCCCCCCCTCTTCCTCCGGAGCCCTGGGATCCCCCCCCTCTGAAAATCCCCCCCCTGCTAGACCCCCCCCCTTCCTCCCGGTAAAACCCCCCCTTCCCTTAACCCCCCCCCCTCCGGTAAACCGGAAGGGGCCACTACCGGTTCGACCCCCCCCCCCCTTTCTGGAAAACCGGGGGGATCACTACCGGTTCGAACACGCTCCCCCCCCCCTCGAAAACCGGAAGGGGCCACTACCGGTTCGACCCCCCCCCCCGTCGAAAACCGGGAGGGGTCACTACCAATTCGAACCTCCCCCCTCGAAAACCGGGGGGGGTCACTACCGGTTCGTACCCCTCCCCCCCTACGCTCACCGCTCAGTACCACCGTCCGCACCACATCCCCCACTGCTGTCCCCAGCACCACTGTCCTCACCACCACTGTCCCCGCTGTTCCCACCACCGTCCCCGCTGTCCCCACCAGTGCCCCCACCACCGTCGCACTGTCCCCACTGTCCCCACCACTGTTCCCACCACGGCTCTCCCCACTTTCTCCACGGCCCCAACCACTGTCCCACTGTCCCCGCTGTGGGACAGTGTCCCCGCCGCTGTCCTACTGAGCTGTCCCGCTGTTCCCACCACTGCCCCCAGTGTCCCCACCACTGTCCCTACTGTACTTCTGTCCTATTATCCCACCGGCATCCTCGCCACCGCCCTCACCACTTTCTCCAACACCAAGGTACCCTCCACTTGCCCACTGTTTCCACCACGTTCCCACTGTTTTCACACCACTGTCCCCACCCAGTCCCCACCACTGTCCCTCTGTCCCCACTGTTCCCGCCATTGTCCCCGCTGTCCCCACCAGTGCCCCCACCAGTGTTTCATTGTCCCCGCTCTCCCCGCCGTTGTCCCACCACGGTCCCACTCCCCAGTTTCCCGACGGTCCCCACCACTGTCCAACTGTCCCCACTGTTCCCACCACTGTCCCACTTTCCCCGCCGCTGTCACACCGTGCTGTCCCACCGTCCCCACTGTCGCCATCACTGTCCCACTGTCCCCACTCCTCCCACCACTTTCCCCACTGTACTACTGTCCCACACTGTCCTCACCACCGCCTTCACCACTGTCCCCACCACTACCGTCCCCACCACTGCCCCACTGTCCCCACCACTGTCCCGCTGTCTCCCCACCACTGTCCCCAACACCACCGTCCCCACTGCTGTCCGCACCCCTGTCCCACTCTCCCCGCACCAGTCCCCACCACCACCCATCCCACCACTGTCCCAGCATCCCCAGCATTGTCCAACTGTCCCGAGGAGCGGGAATCGTTTGCCGGCGGCGAAGGGGGGGGTCGAACTGGTACTGACACCCCCGGTTTGCAAGGGGGGGGGCGGGAGGTTCGAACCAGTAATGACCCCCCCCCGGTTTTCGAGGAAAGGGGGGGGGGGTCGAACCGGTAGTGACCCCCCCCCTTTTCTTGTGGGGGGGGGGGGGGGGAGGTTCGAACCGGTAGTGGCCCCCCCGGTTTTCGAAGGGTTGGAACGAGTTAGGAACCCCCAGTGACCCCCCCCCGTTTTCCCGCCAGCAGCGGTAGAACACGTTCTGTCGAATATGTAGACATGTATATGTGTCATCCCATGATCCACCGTGACTCTTCAAGATTGCGCAGGGCCCCCTGCCGCGAAAGAACAAATTGGGGTCGGCGGCAGAGGCGGCAGCCTTTCGATTAGTGATCAACAAATTCTGCCAAACGGGCCTTTTCGCGCCGCATGGCGAACTCATTCAAACACAATTCCGCGCCTGCTGGGGGTGGGAGGGGGCACGACCCGTGTCAAATAATACCACGCAGGCCACTCGCGCGCGTCGGCCGCGCGCGCATGTCGAACTCCTTCGAAAAGCTATATCGCCGACGCGAGGGCATCGTCATCATTATCGGCGGGCGTTATCGGCGGGCGTGATTAACATCGGTGCTGCCATTGGCAGTGCCATCGTCATCGCCACCATCGCCACTATCATCGCTACTCTCATCATCGCGTCTACCGTTGTCGGCGTCGCCATGATACCGCGCCCGCCCAAGTCACTGATTCGCACTGAAGTGCCCGCTGGGAAATGCGTAACGGTCACCGCCACCGCGGCCGCGTCGCTCGCGCCAAACTAGCTGGTCGCTGTGCGCGAGCATTCGCTGGCTAGCACGGCCGCGCAAATGCACCAGCCAACGCCATGCATTCATCGCAATCGCCGCCGCATGGGTTGTGCAAACCAAGTTTCGGGTGGGTGGGTGGGACGTTTGCAAGAGCATGGAATATGTCAATTTGTCGCTTGTAGAAACCAATTGCACCTTCTAGATTGCACCACATACATTGCATTGCATATTTTGCCCATCATAGTTCGCACACCATGCACTGCACAACCTGCATTGCACCGTATGGCCCACCACAAAGACTGCCCCACATAGATTCTCCTTTCTAAAGACAAAATAGACTCTAGCCCCCCGGCGGTATCCGCCCCCCTTTCGGGTATGTAAATCACATATGATTCTGACCACACGTCCATCCTAAATATGAATGTACACTACCCCAGAAGGGCCGGGATCGGCCCCCCTGAGGTGTCGGAAGGAATTCGCAATCGAGTTACCAAAGAGCATACAAAAGCACAGGGTTTCGCAACACTGCTTTGCTAAAAAAGCTTACGCGCGAGCTCTTGCGAAATCTTGAGAAAACCATGGGTTGTTCAAGATTTTCACAACATGCTACCAAACGGGCTTCGCGCGCGCGTCTCGAAATCTGTCGAGCGCCCTTGCGCGTGTGCCGTCGCGAGAATCCTCTGCAAAAAACGCGACGAAGTGCAGACGCGCGCGCCGTCGCGCGCGTATGCCAAAATCCTTCAAAAACCATCGGTGTCGGAAGGATTTCAAAATCGTGTGTCCAAAAAACCTACAAAAACACTAGGTGTCGCAACACGGATTTTCAACAAAAGCGTGCGCGCGCTCTTGCGTCGTCGTCGTCGTCGCCGTCCTCCCTCCTCCCGCGTCGTCGTCGTCGCCTACGTCGTCGTCGTCGCCCTCTTGGAGTCGTGGTCGTTTCCGTCGTCGCCCTCCTCCCGCGTCGCCTACGTCGTCGCCCTCCTCCCGCGTCGCCTACGTCGTCGTGTCTTTCAACGTGTTCGTCGTCGTCGTCCTCTTTGGAGTCGTGGTCGTTTCCGTCGTCGTTGTCGCCGTGGTCGTCCTTCCTCCTCCTCCCTCGTCGTCGTCGTCGTCCGCCGTCGGCGTCTCGTCGTCGTCCCTCCTATTTCGTCGCTGTCGTCGTCGCCGCCGTCGTCGTCGTCGTCGTCGTCTTCCCTCCTCCCTCGTGGTTGTCGTCGTCGGCGTCGCCGTCCTTCCTCCTTCTTCGTCGTTCGCGTCGTCGCCGTCCTCCCTCCTCCCTCGTCGTTGTCGTCGCTGTCGTCGTTGTCGCCGTCGTCGTCCTCCCTCCTCCCTCGTCGTCGTCTTCGTTGGCGACGTCGTCGTCGTCTTCGTCTTCGTCGTCGTCGTCGGCGTCGGCGTCGTCGTCGTCTTCGTCGTCATCGACGTCGGCGTCGTCGTCGTCGCCGTCGTCGTCGTCGTCGTCGTCGGCGTCGTTGACGTCGTCGTCGTCGTCGGTGTCGTCGTCGTCGTCGGCGTCGTCATCGTTGTCATCGTCGTCGTCGGCGTCGGCGTCGTAGTCGTCGTCGTCGGTGTCGTCGTCGTCGTTGTCGGCGTCGTCGAAGTCGTTGCAGACGTCGTCGGTGTCGTCGTAGTCGTTGTCGGCGGCGTCGTCGCGTCGTTGTCGCTGTCGTCGTCGGCGTCGCTGTCGTTGCCAAGTGCCATTTGGTACCCACCGTCACGGTCTCAAGAGATTTTGCAAACAAAGTTGCGGGTGGGTGGGTGGGATGTTTGCGCGAGCAGTGGAGGTGGTCAAGCGCGGTGCAGGGTAGTCAATTGCACCGCATATATTACTCAGCGTAGAGAACACCACATACATTGTTACCAGCACAGCGCTTGAGGTCTATGCAGGCTAACATAGTACATCGTTTCCCGAGCGGTATGACCAGCAAGCACTCGTCAAAGAACAGAAACTATAAGATGTCTCAGCGCGCGCGTCGCCCCTGGGGTGCAGACGCACACAGAATGTTCACATGTTTTCGTGATGTCGATCAATGACACCCGCCAAGGTGAATCCATCAGCGCGTTGCTCCCGAGAGTAGAGAAGAAAAAACGCTACAAAGATAAACTGTTTGCGCTCCGCGCGGATTTCCTGGATCTGCGCTGGATCCCCCTTCCTGGCGCACAGAGCGCGCCAGGGGTGGCGCCGGAGGCGCCGCCACGGGGGCCCAGCGCGGGCCCAAGAAATCTGAGCGGAGCGCCAAAGTGTATGTTTATGGCGTCTTCACTTCTTCGAATGCTGCTGCCGAGAAACCGCCGGGCCATCGGCAGAGAAACGAAAGAGCAACACGTAAGCGGACTGCCACGGACACGCTTCCTTCCCCCCCGAGGCGGAGCGCACGTGGGCGCGCCCCAGCCTGCGCAGAAGCGGGCGCCGAGGGGCAGCACCTCTCGGGCGGGGAGGGGGGCGGGGCGCGTGCCGGAGGGCGACACTGGACACACACTGGACAACCTGCTCGAATGTAAGATTAAGTCGGGCATGTCCCTCTACAGGAGGAATATTCACAAGTAGTTTATAAATAGTCTGGTGACGACTTGTTCTACAATGTTTTACCTTGTTTGAATATTTGTTTGACTAATCTAAATGTTTCGTCGAAAATCCGCCTGTAGGAGGAAATGTCCGACCTGAATATAAGATTGCGTGCTGGCAAGCGGGGGAGAGCGGAATCGGCCAGCCAGCTCTTCCGGTTTCCCCCGTGCCTTGGGGGGCACACGCCAACATGGATTACTGCACGTCGATCTGGAGCGTGGGCGCCAGATCCATGGATCGAGGACACGTACCCTCCGAAAGGGAAGCTTGTGCCGCCTGATTTTACGACTGAGCGCGTCGATCTCGCATGGAAAGGGGGCAAGTCGCGGATCCACGCGCCCCAATCCATGATTGCGCCTCCTCGAGTCTGGGGGGTGGGGGGTCACGTTGCGTGCCCCGCCCCCCACTTCCTCCTGCCCCCCTCCGCAGCCGCTCGCTTCTCCTATCAGCATCGGCTAACCGACCCCCTATCCCAATTCTCATCCCCATCCAGACCCCCACCATCTCAGCACCCCAGTTGGGGATGTGCCCCTGGAAACCCGAAGGAAACAGTCAACTAACCCCTACCATAATCTAGAGGGTAAATCGACCAGTGGGGCCCAGGCCACGCCCATCGGGATAGGAGTCGGTTGATTGAGCAGGGACCGACCGTCCCTGCATTCCTCGAGGCCCACCACGAAGTGTTCTCACAACCCAAACATGCTCTAAGAACAGAACAATGCTCCTAGAACATAAACCCGATGTGTGAAAACACGACAGCCTCGGCCAAGCATGTTCTGAGAACATTCCGCACAAACAACAAAAGGTTCTTAGAACATGCCCTGGTGGGCCCATAGGCAGGCCAGAACGCTTCGCCACTGCTCGAATTCAAGATGCTCGTCCTCCGCATGTCCGGTGTGCCATGCGAGCGTTTTCTTGTTCGGCGTTCCGACACTGGGCGGAAAGAGGGGGGGAGGGGCGGGGTCTGGCTCTGGACCTCTGCTGAGTGCGACTGTTTTCAACCGTGCGTCCTATGGGGGAGACTCCACCTGCTCGAAACAGGCGACAAAAACAGCCAAGATCTACTCCACGGTGGGGGGGTGCGAGGGCCCGCGCCGATCGGCAAAACCATGAATAAAAAACGATCACCATCGGCTCGGCCGCAGCCTGAGCAGGCTTCCCGGCGCTCTTCCCGGCCCGCTCCCGCGCCGCTGTGCAAAAGAGCAAAGCCCCCAGGGCGCGGGGGCGCCAGGCCCGACGCCGTGGTCTCTGCTCAATCCCGGGGGCTTCCCCCAGATCACAAGAGGACACCAGGACAATGCACGGTTTCCCCCGGGGCCGCAGGCGACCCGAGGAGGAGGAGGAGGAGGAGGTGGAGGAGGGGAAAGGGGAGGAGGAGATGGAGGAGATGGAGGAGGAGGGGAAAGGGGAGGAAGAGGAGGAGGAGGAGGAGGAGGAGGGAGGAGGAGGAGGAGGACGGGTCGCCTAAGCTCTTCGGAGAAACCCTCCACAGGACGAAGGACACCAGAACGAAGAGAAACGAGAACAGAACGAGAGCGCAAAGCACTGCTTAGCTCGAGCCCGGGCTCCCCCCTCGGGCTCAAAGGGGGGGGGAGGGGTTCTGAGGCTCGGAGGGCAGGGTTTTGTTTGTTCGGCAGCGAGCCGGAGGCGAGCGAGTTGGGGGCGTGAGAAGGACAGGCCCTTTGCAGAAGGCGGCGGGACTTCTCAGAAGCCCTCGCGCCTTCTGAGGAAGACTTCTGTCTGCGGGAAGCCTCACGGTCGACCCGTATCATAAGGATGCGCGGTAAGGATGCAAGGGCCTTGAAGGCCATTTCGAAGCTGCTTGAGCGGAACACGGCCAGCGAAAGTGGCCAAGGATGGGCCGAAGGGGCAAGGATGCACGGGTAACATTGGGAAAGATGTACATCCTTACTACGCGGATTGACTGTAGAAGACTTCTCAGAAAGCCCGGGGACTTCCGAGCCTTCTGGGAAGGCCCGCCCCTTCTCACTTCCCCCCCGGGCCCGGGCTCGCCGCCGAGCCAGGACAACAACAACAAAAAACACCCGGGGGAAGGAGGCGTCAGGACCTCCCAGGCCGCGGATTCGAAAAAAAACATCCTCGTCGGGTGTCTGGGGTGGGAGCCATCGAGGATCGAGGATGTCGCCGTCTCCGTCGATCAAGGATCAGGTGGGGTGGGGGCGAGGATCGAAAACATCGTCGTCGGTATCGATCGAGGCTCGTGGACAAGCATCGGGCACGAGGTGGGGCCTGGGCGGAGACGCCAGGGGGAGGGATCGAGGATCAAGGACGACGCAGCCGTCGATCAACGATCGAAGACGAGGACGCGGAGGACGGACGACGACGATGATGACGCACCTCGGGAGGTATGAATCCGCTTCGCCCGAGTCCCGCTTCGGCCCGCCCCGCTTCGCCCCGACCAGCTTCGCTGGCGGCCCGCTTCGCTGGCGGGCCCGAGGTCCGCTTCACAAGGGGCCCGCTTCGCCAGTGGGCCGCCCGCCGTCGCAGGTGGTCCGTGTGGCCCTGCCTGTATGCTCGCCTTGTCCCCGCCGTGGGAGCCTCTCCTCCTCTGCATCCTTCCCGCTCCCATGTCGGTCCTCCTCGCCGACTCCTTCTCCCTCACGGCCTCCCTCCTCCTCCTCCTCCTCCTCCTCCTCCTCCTCCTCCTCCTCCTCCTCCTCCTCACTCCCTCCCCCCCTTCCCATCTCTGCTCCTCCCAACCTCCATGCTCCTGCTTGCAAGCACATGGGCGAGCAGGCCTCAACGCGCAGGTCGGGCGGGCGGGACAGGAGCTGGCGGACCCCAACGTGCGGGTCGGGCGGAGCATTCAGCGAGCGGGCGGGCTGGCACGCAAGCGAGCAGACCCCGACGGGCGGGCCGTGTGGTCGGGCCCTCACGGGCGGGTCGGGCCGGCAGGACACTACAGGGGGCAGGCGAGCACGCAGGCACACGAGCGAGCAGGCCCGAACGGGCGGGCCAGGACCCTCTCGGGATCCGCCCAAGGGGGGGTGACCCCGAATGGGGGCATCAATTCGATCCACTGGTGCACCGACCCGCCGCAAACAGATGCCCCCCCGCATGCCCCACCTAGCGGCGACGGGGAGCTCCCGGCGGCTGGGGGACCTCTGTTTTGGGCGGTTCGGTGCAAAAACCGATCGAACTCTCTCTCTCTCTCTCTCACACACACACACACACCGGGGCACACACCCCTTTGCGGGATCCCGACCCTAGCGGGCAGGTCACGCCAGCGACGACGAGCGACAGAGACGAGCGGCTGCGACGAGCGGCGGCGACGACCACGACCAGCGACGGCCACGGCGAGGGACGGCGGCGGGCGCGGCCGTCCCCGGCGACGGCGGGCCTCGGGCGAAGCGTTAGGTCGGGCATGTTCTCCTACAGACGGATTTTGGACGAAAAATGAAAAACAGTCCGCAAAAATTCACTAAAATAGTCAAAACTAGTCGAAAAATCATCCCCGGACTATTTTTCCTACTTTTGAAAATCCCTCCTGTAGAGGGACATGCCCGACTTAAGCGAAGCGGTCCAGAGCGACTCGGGGCCGCGTCGTGCGAGCAGGCCAGAAGGCGGAGGCGGAGGCGAGGGCGCCAGAGCGGCATGCTGATGCAGGTGCCACTGCCCGTGCCACATGCACGGAGATGAATACACAGACACCCTCCAGCGAATGCGAATGTATCTTTCCGTGGAGGGCGGCGTTGTATAAAGTCGCCGGCTCTCAGCGGTGATTCGTGCACCGCCACCTTGCCCTTGAGGCCTAGCAATTATCTGTTGGAGGGTGTCTGTGCATTATATTTTCCGTGGCGGAAAGATGCACGGACGCAGCCGCGACTGCCCGTGCCGTCATGATGCAGTTGCAGCCGTGGAGTGTCTTGGGGGCTGCGTGGGGCGACCCGCTGCCTGCCTTGCCAGGCGCGGTCTGTACAGGCAGGGGTAGCGGCAGGAGGCGATCAGGGATCGAGAACGACGACGACGACGACGACGGCGAAAATGTGGGCGTCTCGGTTGCGGCGGTGTTTGTACATGTCTGGAAGTTCTCGGCGCCACGGCTGCACGGGGCTCAGAAAAACATGCGGGGGTGGACAATGAGGGCTCTGGGGACTGATTTCTAACAGATCTGGGAGAAGGGGGGGGTCACGATCTGGAGTCACTATCTGCGAAACGGTGGCTCCACGTCGTGATTCCGTGCTGGCTTGGTCTGCCTTGCTTGCGCCACTTTTTGTTACCGAGGTGGGAAGGGGAGACGGAGCAGACGAAGAGAAAAATGAGGAGGGTCCCGTACGCAGAAGCGCTAGAGACATGTTCCTCCTCAGGATCCCCCTCATCCTTCTCCAAGTCTCGCTTATCCTCTCCTCTCCCTGCCTCTGTCCTCCTCATCCTCCTGCTTATCGACCTTGTCTTTATCATCATGTTTCTTCTTCTCCTCCTCCTCCTCCTCGTCCTCGTCCTACACCTCCTACTCCTCCTCCTCCTTCTCCTCCTCCTCCTGTCCTCCTCCTCTTCCTCCTCATCATCGTCCTTTTTGTTGCCAAGCGGGAGACGAGGAGGGATCTGAAGAGACAGATGAGGAGGGACTTTGGTCCGCCCCCTCCCCCACGCACGCACGCACACACGCACGCACGCACGCACGCACGCACGCACGCACGCACGCACACACACACACACACACACACACACACACACACACACACACACACACACACACACACACACACACACACACACACGCACACACGCACACACACGCACACACACACACACACACACACACACACACACACACACACGCACACACACACACACACACACACACGCACACACACACACACACACAGTCGCACACACACACACACACACACACACACACACACACACACACACACACACGCACACACACACAGTCACACACACACACACGCACACACACGCACACACACACACACACACACACACACACACACACGCGCGCCAACACACACACACAATCAAAAAGAAGTCCTGGACAGGCATCCTGCTGTTGTCCACGTAGGGGCAATCAAGGGCGTCCTGGAGGGACGAGGAGGACGGAGGGAGGGCGGGAGGGAGCAGGGGAAACGATGGAGAGAGGGAGGAGAAGCAGCACGTTTCGAGAGTAGGAGGGAGAGGAAAGGGGGGCAATCGATGACATCCTTGTAGGCTGCCACAGCGGAAGATACTGCTACGATCTACAGGTGATGAGCTACGCCCCTCCCTGCCACTGCCTGGCCTGGTCGGGCAGGTAAGAGCATCCGCAGTCATAATGGGTGGCCCCAGGGGCATCAGGAAAATGATGCTGTATGGAGTTTTCTCTGAAGCCACCCCAGCTTGTCAACCAGCTCCGACGGCTCCACTGCTGGCTCCCACGCCCCCGGAACGCGGGAACGTGCGTACTGCCCACAACCTCTCGCCGACCAGGAACACATGGCCGTCTGAGCGCGGACTCAGCGCAGTGGGCATGCTAAACCTGGCAAAAAACTCCTGGGGATCCACCTGTCCCGCCCCCGCTCCGCACGACGGCGCCCTCGGAACCCGTCCCTGAAGGCCTGCGCGGCCGAGGCCTCGACGACGGCCTTGGCCCGAGGCCTGACTGAGCAGTCAGAGCCAGCCAGAGCTCCTGGATGCTTGATCTCACGAGCTCTGAGCTCGACCCACACAGACAGACCATAACTCAGAGGGGCCAGCTGACCAGGGACAGGAAGCAGATTGATGCCTCCCTGCTGGGCACCAGGGGGAGGGGGCACAAGGGGGGCTGCCAAAGAACAAGCGAAACGCAACTAAGGAAAATGACTCCGTTGGCTGATTCTGGACGAGGGAGAAGGGAGGCGGAGGATGAAAGCGGCACGAAGAGAACGGGAGGACGGGGAGGAGGGAAAGAAAAACTGAGAGGTGGAGGGGGAGGAGAGGGACAAAGAAAAAGAGGACGAGAAGGGGAAGTGAAGGAGCAGCCGGTGCAGGAGCAGGAGGATGAGGTGGGGAGGGGGACGAGGAGGACGAACGAGGGTGGCGAGATGGGGGCGAGGGATGAGTTACACGATTTGAATGTGGACTCCTGCAGGAAGCCATGATAGCACAGGATACGTAATCGTGACTCCTGGAAACACAGGCCAATGCATTCGAAGACAAGGCCCACGGGAGGGAGGGGACAAGGGAGGAGGGAGGAGGCAGGGGGGAGAAGGGCGGAAGGATGAGGAAGTAAGGAAGAGGCGGGAGGAGCCAGCAGAAGAGGGAGGGGGAGGACAAGGAGGGGGATGAAGAGAAAAAGCAAGGGATGGGAAGAAGGACCCAGACCTGGCGAAAAGGGCCCAGACCTGTGGGTCCAGCCGCGGCGACGAGAAGCCCCCCCCAGGGCCTCGAGGGGGCGAAGAGCGCACCGAGGCGACTCCATCCTCGAGCCGGCACGGCTCGGCGCGGGCGCGGGGATGTCCGAGCTAGTCAGCACGTGCAGCTGTCTCTCGAAGACCAGCCAGACCAGGCCGAGCAGAGTCATGAGGGCGAGGCACCTCGACACCCTCCCCGTCCTCCGAAAGAAAGGGCACCCTCGTCGTCGTCGTTGTCGCAGGTTGGACAAAGAAAACTTCTCCGACTGCTTGAATATGAAACCCCCAAATTGTCCTGTATTCGATGAGCTCCGCACCCGGCTGAAAAAGAATGCTGAGGAGGAGGAGGAGGAGGAGGAGGAGGCGAAGGAGGAGGACAAGAGGTATCAACAAAAGGAAAGAAGGAAAAGGAGCAATGCCAGGGAAATAAAGGAGAAAGGGTCGGGAGGAAGGGGGACATGGATGAGGGAAGGAAGACGGATGATGGAGAGGGGGAGGAGGCAAGAGGGAAGGAGAGATAAGGCAGAAGCAGGGCGGGATGAAGAGGTTGCCGTTGATGATGATGATGAGTATGAAAAAGGGAGGATTGAACACGGAGGAAGGAGGCTATGCTGAGAATGGGGAAAATGATGAGGACGAGGCAGGGGAGAGGAGACATGGGTACGACGACAGCGGTGATGCTGCTAAGCATGGTACTGATGATGACGATGACGGTGACACTGACGATGATGGCGGTGATGAAGGCGATGACGACGATGACGATGACGATGACGATGGCGATGACGATGACGATGATGATGATGGTGATGGTGATGGTGATGGTGATGGTGATTGTGATGGTGATGGTGATGGTGATGGTGATGATGGTGATGGTGGTGATGATGATGATGATGATGATGATGATGATGATGATGATGATGATGATGATGATGATGATGATGATGATGATGATGGCGACGTGGACATGGAGGGGGGACAGCAGAAATTTGGTGGACGGGGTAGAGGGAGGGGGGAGGGAGGGAGGGTAGACGGGCGCGCGCACGCGCTGGACGGCGGGTGGAGGAAGCCCCTGTAAATGTGTATAGATGTGCGTTTATAGTTTAGGATTATAAGGGCGACGGAGGGAATGAGAGACGGGACGCGGGATAGAGGATGCGGGAGGAAGGGAAGTGGAGAGAATACGCGGCGGGGGGCCAGAAGCACGAAAGACGAAAAAGAGGGGGGGCAGGGCAACGGAGGGAGGAGGAGTGCCCCCCGTTTTCTTCCCTCTTGCCCACCCCCACCCGCCCCGTGAGCCCCCAGCACCAGGACGTGTCCACCACGATCATGGACAGGAGCCTGAGGCGACGGGTGAATCTCAGCCTCATGGGTCGCGGGGTGTAGGGGGGGGGGACGACGAGGAGGAACGGGCGGAGCTCGCGTACAGCCCCCCCTCCCTGTCCAAAGGAGGGGGGGGCTTAGCTACCCCCCCCCCCCTCCCCTTTGAACGCCCCCTGCCGGAAGCCCCCCCGCACCTTTTTTCTCCACCCCTCGGAAAGTGCCCCCCCCCTCCCCCCCCCTTTCGCGCTCTGGAAGCCGCCTCCCTCCTCCTTTTCCATGCGGGGGGGGCTTAGCTACACCCCCCCCCTCCCCTTTGAACCTCCCCTGCCGGAAGGCCCCCCCCCCCGTTTTGGGCTAGAGGGGGGGGGCTTGGAAGCCCCCCCCCCTTTGGCTAAAGGAAGGAGCGCCGAAAACCAAAAGAGCGCCGAAAACCAACAGACCGCCGAAAACCAAAGAGCCACTGGAAATCGAAAGCGTACAAAAACCAGGGGGCGCCGAAAACCAAAGAAACGCCGGAAACCAAAAGGGCACCGAAAACCAAACGGCGTCGAAAATCAAAGAAACCCAAAGGGGCACCGAAACCCAAAGGAGCGCCGAAAACCAAGGGTGCGCCGAAAACCAAAAGCGAGCCGACAACCAAAAGGGGGCCGAAAACCAAAGGAGCGCCGAACACCAAAAGATCGCCAAACAGCAAAGAAATACCGAAAACCAAACAGCACCGAACACCTAACCAACGCCGACACCGAAGAGGCGCAGAAAACGAAAACAATAGCAAAAACTACAAAAAAAAAAAAAAAAAGAAAACCAAAGAGACGCCGAAAACCAAAAAAGCGCCGAAAACCGGAGCAGCGCCGAACACCAAAGAGGAGCCGAAAAGCAAAAAGCACCGAAACCCAAAAAGGCGCTAAAAACCATAGGGTCGTCGACCTTGCAAGGACGCCAGAAATAAAAGGGGCGCCGAAAATCTATAGAGAGCCGACAACCAAAGGGTCGCCAATCACCAAGAGGGCACCGAAAACCAAAACACTGCCGAAAACCGAAGGAACGCCGACTACCAAAAGGGCGCCGAGGACCAAAACGGCGCCGAAAAACAAATAGGCGCGCCGAAAACCAAAGGGGCGCCGAAAACCGCAAGGGCGCCGAGAACCAAAGGGCGCCGAAAACCAAAGGAGCGCCGAAAACCAAGGGGGTGCAGAAAACCAAAAGGAAGACGAAAACCAACAAAGCGCCGAACGCAAAAAGGTGCGCCGAAAACCAATAGATGCGGCGTGAACTCAAAGGACGACGGAGACCAAAGGAGCGCCGAAAATCAATGAAGCGCCAAAGGCCCAAAACGCGCCGAAAGCCAAAAGGGCACCGAAAACCAGAGAGACACCGAAAACCACAAATACGCCGCAAACCAACGGGGCTCCGAAAACCAAAATAGAAAAGTAGCTTCGAACCCCCCCTTCAGCCAGGGCCCTCCACCTAGAAAAGCCAACAGAAGGAGGGGAGGGGGGGTAGCTTCGGAGGCCCCCTCTCCCCTTTGGAAAGGGCAGCCCGGGCTGATCCCGGGCCCCGATAAGGAGGGGGGTGGGGTAGCTTCCAAGTCCCCCCCCTTTGGCCAGGGAGCCCCCAGCTACAAAATCCGAACAAAAAGAGTGGGGGTAGCTTCGGAAGCCACCCCCTTTGAAAGGGCAGCCCGGGCTGACCCCAGGCCTCGAAATAGGGGGGAGAAGAAGGGTAGCTTCCAAGGTCCCCCCCCTCCCGCGTTTAGCGAGTCCTCCCGGCTTAAAAATGCCTACAGAATGGGGGCAGGGGGGGGCGTAGCTCTGGAAGCCCCCGCCCCTTCCCAAGGGAGGTGGGGGGGGGTAGCCTTGGAGCTGGGGCCCCCCGTTCAGTGAGAAGTGCGCCACAGGCGCAATCTTTCGCGCATAAGTTTGCAACCGTGTCAAGGATGGAGGGCGGCTCCTCTTCAAGATATGGATCTCGCCCTAACGCCGCCGCGCACATTCGTCCTGAACGTGCTCACCATCTTCAGGAATTCGCACGGTCGAAGTCCCAGGCATGGTGTTGCGGCGCGGCTTGGGACTATCGGGACGAAACAGGCACGTTGGTTTGTAGTGGTGGGGTCCCAGGAACGGCGTTCTGGCACGATCCAGGACTGCCAGACGCAACAGTCACGCTGATCCGCGTGAAGTCCCAAAAGCTGTGTTTTGGCACGGTTGGAAATTCTCAAACGGCCGTCTGGTAAACGCGGTAAACTTGGAGGGAACGTAGAGGGAGGGTTTACTGCAATAGTGGATAGTGGTATCGCGCTATGGGTTTACACTCGTCCTCCTCCTCCTCCTCCTCCTCCTCCTCCTCCTCCTCCTCCTCCTCCTCCACGGGATCAGCGCCCCCCAATGGTCACGTTCTATTGCACATTACCCTCCATCTGCGATCCTGGTGTGGCCTCAGTCCCTTGTGGATTGCACTGGGCCCACGCTTCCAGGCCAACGATCCCGTACACACTGCCGTGGATCCGGGCTTCGAGGACCACTCACTATACCATGAAGAGTACACTGGACTCTCGCTCCGAAGGCCAAAATCCCTTGCCAATTTCATCGGATCCAAATTACAGCGGATCCGTGCACCCAGGGCCAGTCCCTTGAAATCAAAGTAGATCCGCGCTCATGGGGCCACGACGTTTGGCAAAATGACCTTGGTCAACGGTCCCTTGAAAACTACGCTAGGTCCATGCTCCCAACGCAACCATCCCTTGTAAATCATGCTGGGCCTCCGCTCCTTCAGCAAAAGTCCGCACTCCAAGGGCCACATATTCTGCTGTATGACGCTGGATACACAGGATCCGCGCTCTGAGGGCAACGATTCCTTGTAAAGTGCGATTGTTCCACGCTCCTGGGGCGAGAACCCTTTGCAACATTGCCCGAGACTGCCCCCAGATGGCTCTGCGTGACCTACGAGCCCGCAAGAGTGCCAAATAGAACTCCAAGAGCGCTCTAAGGAAACTCCCTAAAAAGCTCCAGCAGGCTCCAGAAGAGCAGCAAGGAAAGCCCAGGCTCTGACCTGAAAGGGTCAAAGATCCGAGATAAACCGAAAGGAGCAGCAAGAGATTCAAAGAAGGATCGCTAAGAGAGGGGATGCCCCTTCCCGCGACCCCGTCCGACCCAGCCCCATTTGTCGGCAGTCTGCGCGGTCGCTGGGACACCATAAAGGACCTCAAAGCGCGCGTCGACGTTGAGCCCCTGCTGAGACCACGGGCAGACGGCGCACGGTGAGCACGAGCTGGCACGGGAGTGGTTTGAAGGGTCAGACGCGCACAACGTGCTTCTCTCCCGAATTCGCGAGATCTGGGTCCGCGCTCATAGAGGCATCTTCAAGCAGGTTCGAGTAGATGGGGTCGGAGGATTGCACGGCATAGCCGATGTATGGGCGATGCATCGGCGATGTATCGGCGACGTATCGGTGACGTCGGCGATGCATCAGCGATGCCAACGGATAGAAACTTGAAGACACATCCGTGCCATAGGAGTTGCTGCGAGCGGCAGTGTCACCACTCAGTACTCTGTCCCAACACATAGATGCAGTGAAAGTGCATGTGAATGGCCCTTCCACCACTCCGTATTCAATCCCAAAACAAGTTTACTCCGTAGGAGTCGCTGTGGGTGGCACCCCCACCACCCCGTACAGAAGACCAAGACATCGAGTTCTTTAGGTCAACAACCCTATCAGGTCGTGATCGTCAGAACTGCTAATGGAACTATCTACTACGCAGATCGGCGCGGCGGTGTTGTTCGGAAGCGCTCAAGAAGTGCTCATGCGGGTTAGCGTCGTCAACTGCCTTCCACATCCAGTGAAGGTAATCAAAGAAATCGTCCAGATATCTCAACTCGGAGTTGAGCTCGTTGAAAGCAACACGACGACAAAGAAAAGGCGATCGTCAACGAAGGCAAGTATCCGCAGGAATGCGTGAGTAAGATGCTGTATGCAAGTCGTCGTCGCAGCCAGGCACATCCACGCAAATATAGGCAGAGGCCGCAGCCGAACCCACCCAGGAGCAGCAGGACCGCCCCGAAAGGGGACGAAGAACACGAAGAACCTCATCGACAAGCGATGCGATCTCGAACGCCGTCAGACACGCCAGGGCAGACACCAGTCGATGATCCTCAGAACGTGTGTTAGCGCCTACGTGTAGCACCAGGCTCACCGTGTAGCACCAGAGAGCCACCTGCATCAATACTGTCATCATCCCTGGGGAAGAGGTAAGACATCCGCAGCTGATTTCACACCACGGCGAAGAACAGCCAGAACAGCTTCCTCCATCTCAGGCTGGATCGGCTGTGGTACGGAGGCTTCTACGCCCAAGTTATGCGGGAAGGTGGGGAAAGATGACACTTCTGGTAACATGCCATGGTGCCGAGGCTCATTCGTTATGTTAACGGGCGAAGAACGGTAGAAAATAAACTGTCTCGCTGTCGGGGGCGCCTGTCCCAGGGCGGCTGGAAAGTTTATACCCTTACGGTGGCACGTCAAGGTATAAACTTTCCAGCCGCCCTGGGGCAGCGCCCCTGGTGACGGAAAGGATTATTGTATACCGTTCTTCGCCCGCTAATTATGGGGCCTCCACCACCTGCAGACCACGGGTCGTTCCCTCCGTCCCCAAGGATCAGTCCCCTCACCGGCCGGTGCACCACTGAGAAAACGGAGTTGCCCTCCAGAGCGTGGTCCAGGATGCTGACCATGTTGCCGGTCGTCGTCATCGCCGCCGTCACGATGATCACCGTGTTCATGTTCAGCATGATGTGCAGGCCCACCCGTGATCAGGAAGTCGACTCCCCAGTGCCCATCCGAATGCCGATGTCCTCTATCAGCCACTCGCGCAACCCACTCGAGCCAGTCCGGGGCGGAGGACGCGAAAGGTTGGGCCTCAGCAATCACCTGCGCATCAGGATAGGCACAACGGCCACCTTCTGCACCAGGTCAGCTCATGCGTGGTAGAGGTGACTACCAGCTTGCGACCCACATGGAGCTGCGTCCTCAAGAACGCGATGCGATCAAGGACCACCATGCGGCGCGCCGAGGGGGCCCGAGGGGAGGATAACGAGCGGGTGCACGCGCGCCGTCCAACCCCCAACCCCGCATGTGCTGGGGTCGAAGGCGCTGTGATGATGGTGGTGGTGACGATGCTGATGGTGATGATGATGATGATGATGGTGGTGATGATGATGATCAGCATCATGATGCTCATGATGATGGTGATGGTGATGGTGATGGTGATGATGATGATGATAATAATGATGATGATGATGCTGATGCTGATGATGATGATGATGGTGGTGGTGGTGATGAGAAGAGGAAGATGAAGAGAAAGACGGAGATGGAGATGAACCTGAAGATGATGATGATGATGATGATGATGATGATGATGATGATGATGATGATGATGATGATGATGATGATGATGATGATGATGGTGGTGGTGATCATGGTGGTGATGATGGTGGTGGTGATGGTGATGGTGATGGTGATGGTGATGGTGATGGTGATGGTGATGGTGATGGTGATGGTGATGGTGATGGTGATGATGATGATGATGGTGGTGGTGGTGATGATGGTGAGGTCATTGGGGACTTCGAGGTCACCTCACGGTCCGTCACCACGCGGTTGGGGGACCCCCGACGCGCGCGGAGAGCGACGGGCGGGCCCGGGGGTGGCGGCCTCACGTGCAGGCACCAGCACGCGATGAAGAGCACGGTGATCGCCAGCGAGGCAAAGGGCGACAGGTGGGCGTTCTGAGATGGGCGGCGCGCGGCAAGAGGGGGCTGAGGGGAGGGGCATGGGCCACGGGCCCAGGAGAGCCCGAAATCGAATCGATAAGCTGGATCGGCGATCGAAACGGATCGGATCGGCGGGAATCGGCAGCCAAGTCGGGAGAAGTCGCATCGGCAGAGATCGGCAGGCTAGTGAGGCCTCCATAGAGAACCGAATCGTCCTGACATTTGATGGCCCTGTCGGTGCAGAGCTGAGCCGGCGGATCGTCCGAGCAAGGTCAAAGCTCGATTCTCTGCAGCGACTATGGTCTCATTCTACGAGGTCGATCACAAAAAAGATCCACGCGTACATGGCGTGCGAGGAACCGACGCTTCTGCACAGCCTTCTGCAGCGAATATTGTCACATTCTTTTTGGAAGTCGGAAAGGTACGTGGCCTAAGAGGTGTGGTGCCAGTCGTGGAAATGGCGTTGCTATCGACGATAAACAGGCATCGCCATATTCAGCAGTAACGCCACACCCCCTTTACACACCTTCCTACCTCCAGAATTCTACGATGTCGACCACGTGCGTCGAGTCGACGCTTCGGTACAACCTTCACACATCTTGGTTGCGTCAGCACGAAATGTCCAGATTAAATTAAATGCTTGTCGGGCCTGGTGCCTGAGAAGAATCCCTGGCATCAAATACTGTCGTACCCGTCGGGCCACCAGCGCCACGGTGCTGCAGCGAGCTGGGAGCGGCAAGCTCTTGCTGCAGCGGCAGTGGATGCTGCTCGGTGAAATCGCACGCAAGGCCGACGACCATCCTGTCCGCATGGTTGTCTTCCAGCCTTCATCTTCTGACTTGGCGCAGGCGCCTGGCCGCCGAAAGAGGGGCCGGCCCTGGCAGGCGTTGGCAACAGAACTGTCGAAGCATGCTGAGCAAATGTGTCGTGGTTTTGGTAGGGACGTTTCAGAATTCGGCACGTTTCCAGCGGAAGCCTGGGAAGCAGCGGTGCGCAAATATACTGTCTGCCGCACGCTCGTGCCGCTACTCGTGCGCCTGCGGACACACACTCAGCAAAACCGAAAGCCAACTCGGAATCGAACCCGACTCGTATCGGAATCGGAATCGATCGAAATCGGAGCGACTCGGGCCAGAGGAGTCGAACCGAGCCCCGGAAGTCCCTTAGAGCGGCGAAAGGGCCGCAGCGGGCGCCTCTGCGCTGCACTCCCCGGCGCCCCGGGGCGGGGTAGCTCCTCGTCCTCGTCCTCCTCCTCCTCCTCCTCCTCCTCCTCCTCCTCCCTCCTCCTCCTCCTCCTCCTCCTCCTCCTCCTCCTCCTCCTCCTCCTCCTCCGCCGCCCCGGGGCGCCGGAGAGTGCAGCGACGAAAAGCAACGGGTCTTACAATCGGACCTAGGCCAAAAGAACATCCCCCGAGAACAATTGTCGGCGGCAATGCGGGACAATCCGCTCCAGCGTGGCAGCGATGCAGGGGCACCACACAGCGAATTGGCCGACATGCAGGAGGGGAAAGGAAAAGGCGACCGCGGGGGGGAAATGGGCGAGCACTCAGAGGTGAAGGCGGAAGAGTTCCGCCATGAGCAACCAGAACGGACCGCGGGCGGCGGGGGCGGCGTCCAAACCGAGAACATGCGACCCTCCGCTGGCCAAATTACACAGAACATCCAAGGGTATCCAGGGTATCCTCCCTAGGGTGCACGAGAGCATCCAGAGAGCACAAACACGAGGGTACCCTCCCCGAGTCGACCTCGATCTTATACCTCGATGCGACCGTACGCGAGATGATACAGCGCGATGGCTTACGCGGGCAGCCAGCGCGGCACGCCACATTTGAGACGAGGGCGCTCACGCGCCCTCGTAGGTAGGCAGCTTGCGCGCGGATGCCGGCGCAATCGACCGCGTGTTTCTGCGTCGCTCATCTCATCTGGACCTGGGAGACACATCCCAGAAAGTAATGGGGACGACGTAAAGCACTGAAGAGCGCTGTCAAATCAGTGCAATGAAAAGCAGAGCACGGCAATGCATTGCAAAGCAACGCAGTGCAATGTTTCAAAGGAGTTGGTAACGCAATGGCAAGCAATGCAAAAGCAACGAGCGAAGATGGAAAAGAGAAGAAGGAGGTTGGAAGCCGGAGTTGTGAATTGGGAGACGCGGGAAATGATTGAGGGAGGAGGAAGGTTCACCGGCCCGACCCGGATGTCACGCAGACAGCACGACAATAAATCATAAGATGTACTGTCTCGCGAGGCATCCAAAAAACATGGTTGCTCGATAAACGCTATATTGCATCATGTGTCCCTGTCTCCTTCAGCAGGGCGAGTTGCATCATACCCATCACGCACTGCACTGCCACCCATTGAAATCGCGAGGCGCGTTTCAAATGACCGAGCCTGCATACGCTGATCACTAAACAATCGAGTGCGCATGAATATGAGAGGTGCTTCACTGGGCGTCCGCACATTCTACGTACCCTTAAAAGCAACTTACATCCCAAACGCAGCGCACACTCTATCGCTGAAACAGGCCTCGACATTCCACAGCAAGATGCTGGAGATCACCGCGCATGGAATGCAGCTACCTCCACTCGAGCGGGAAATCACTGGTAGGAGCTAAAGTAAAAAATATGATCCAAACTGCACCACCCTCACTCATCCCCCTCCCCTCCTCCTCCTCCTCCTCATCCTCCTCCTCCTCGTCTTCCTCCTTCACGTCGTTCCTCGGCCCCGCAAAGCACAAGAAACGCTAGCAATACGATTGCGTAAGTAGGTTGCGTCGAGGTTTTGCCACGACGCTCTGCGCCGTTCCGCACTGCCCTTGTCCCTCTCTCTCTCACTCTGTCAAAACACACACATACAAACACATACGTTCAACCAACGGCACCGCCCCTGCGGGGAACGATGAAGCTGGGCTTACCATACACCGTATTGTGTGATGTTTCGTGCAATTTGGGGTTGGGACAGGTGGGGGTTGATACAGCGCTACCACGCTACGCTGCAGGAGACTCGGGGGCAACGATAGGGTCGGAAGCTGGGCGAAAAGTGGCAAATCCGTGGCTGCTAAAACGGTCTTCCCGGAAGAACAAACAAATTCCTAGAATAAAACTCAGCGCACTAAATAATAAACGGGCTGCTTCCCAGAAGAAACAACAAATTCCCGGAGCTCTGTTTTACCAGCCACGGGTGTGCCAGCCTTCGTCTGGTTTCTGATAGGGGGGATAGGCATAGGGGGGGATCCATCGACCCCCAATCGCCCATTGATCGCCGAGAGGAGCCCGATAGCGCCAACCTGCCTAGGAACGTGCGGCATCCCTACGGGGGGCCTACAGCCAACCCGCATCATAAGGATGCACGGTAGGGATGCATGGGCCTTGGAGGGCCAGGCTGACGTTTTTCGAACGAGGTTGGCCAGTGAAAGTCGCTGAGGATGGGCCGAAGAGGCAAGGATGCAAGGGTACCCTCGGAAAGATTGCCCAGCCTAACTATGCGGGTTGACTGTATCGCCGATCTGTCGGCGATG